GCAGGGGTGGAGTTTGATACCCAGGCTGGCGCCACCTAGTGCCTCCACTCAATTTCATTTCTCTCCAGCGACTAGGTCATGAATTGGAATACACTAGACCAGGCATCTCTAACCTTTTTTCTCCAATGAGTTACCTTTACGAAACAAAAATGCCAGCGAGCTACCAATTTCAGGAGTTGCAAGGAAACTGAGTAAATATAAGAGCCACAGCAAGCCTTAGATGGGGAACAGTTAGATGCCAATAAAACATAAACCACTGTCCATTTATCGGTGAACCAAGTTGGGCATCAAAATTAGATTTACAATGGTAATTAATAAAATTTTACTTATTATCCACAATATATAGAATTCAGAAACCCCTTGACAAGCTACTTGGAAAGGGGTGGAGAGCTACTGGTAGCTCCCGAACTACAGGTTGGAGACCCCTGCACTAGACAGTTTACAAGCACCTTGGAAATGCAAGTCTGGGCACCACCCAATCAGCGAAGAGCCATACATCCCGAGATCGAGGATTTAAAGCCGGAACAAAAAAAAGTTTGGGTGAATTTTATCAGTGGGACAGTCGTTATTTCCCTTCTTCCTATGAGATTTGGGAAAATCTTAATATACCAGTTAGCCCTGTTAACGGCGCATTACATACATCACGACCAAATAGCAGCAGATTGGTTAAATAAAAAAAGTACCCGCCTACCGTCGAGCAAACAAATTCTAATGCTGCGAGGTCAGACGGTTTCTATGAAGTCAAACCGGCTGATGAATCAGGTTAGTAGTTTGAAGTGAGGATACCTATTCGACCTGACACACTGATCCTCATATCTACAGACCCCGCCCCTCCTCCCCCTCACTCAGCAGTTCTGGTGGTTGTGGAGAAGTTTAGGTGTTTAAGTCCCACTTTTAATAATATCACTCCTTTGCATTGAAATAACTCCTGGATAACACCAAAATTTGCATTTAAATAAGTGTCTGACCCGCTGACCTCCGTAGTGGACAAGTATTTTCAGATACTAACAGAGGAAGGTTTGTAGTGAACCAAATGTAATGTGCTGTGCTTGATTTTTACAATCTCAAAATGTGAAAAACATAACTAAAGTGGTATGCAGTGGTCCAAAGTTATTCCTCACTTAACCCTTTGCATTCTGAGCATCCTAATTATTCACTGGAATTAATTTATAAGTGCTTTATATAACTTTCAGAGACCAGCGTGGAATTTTGCTCTGGTGGTAAAACTAACAACAACTACCATGCCAACATACATTTTCTGATAAAACACAATGTAGACAGTACACAGCAGATTCATTTTGACCTCAAGAGCAGCTTATACAATGTATCTGTACTGGCACAAGACAAATTTTGCTCAAATAGATACAAATAAATCTGCTACACAGCCTTTAAGACTAACCAGAAGAAGTGTGGTGAAGGTATGGACTTTCTAAACTTTTGGACTTTTTGAGCACAGTCCTCATGTAGAGTTTAAATCAAGTTAAAGATGGACAATATGCCAACAAAAGTGTATATTATGATTCATTTGGAGACAGATCACAATTTCCATTTTATCACAATTCCTGTACTGTGCAACTTTTCTGGTGGAGGGTTGTTACTTGTCTCCATGGAGATGTTAATGCTTTGCTTGTTATTTTCCAATGTATGACGTTAAACACATCTATCTAGCATTTAATCATTACAGGTGTTTCTATTGCTCAAAAATACAATAATTCTCTTTGTGAATAGGGGAAACTCCTACAGATCTGACCTGTAATGTAGCCTGTACTTGTCTCCCTTGAGATAAGGTGTAAATTATACCATGGAACATTCTAGACAAAGCAATAACATTTCCATGAAGACAAGCGGTGACAGTAGCCAGGCAGGTGCCACCTAGTGCGTCCACTCAATTTCTCTCCAGCGACTAGATCAGGAATCGGAATTCACTAGACGGTTTACAAAAACACCTGAAGTGCGAGTTCGGGCACCAGCCAAACAGCAAAGAGCCATACATTCTGTGTTGGCAACGATTCCCGAGATCGAGGATTTAATGCAGGAACAACGAGAATGTTTTATCAAGGGGAAAGACATTATTGACCTTTTTCCTACAGTATTTGGGAAAAGCTTAATATACCCGTTAGCCCGTTAGCGGCGCATTACATACGTCATGACCAAATAGCAGCAATTGGTTAAATAAAAAAATGTACCCGCCTACCGTCGATTGAACGAATTCTAATGCTGTGAGGTCAGATGGCCTCTACGAAGTGAAACCGACTGATGAATCAGGCTAAAGTGACGGAGCCTCCACCATAAAAGTTGTGCAGTTCGCCCTTGACATTTGATATCTTTAGTGCTGTATCTTCTGGAAATTCACTTCACTGTGATTGGTTAAATCCACCTGACTCATTCAAGAGCCTTAAGGAGGCTGACCAATAAGAAAACTGTCTGGGAAAGTGTCTGGGTTCAAACATAGTACTCAATCTCTCAATATCAATTTGAAGATTTTACCAAAACAGCAAACAGATAATGTATCTCCCAGCCCTGCAAGCAACATCTGTTCAGAAGGATATAAACTTACCCAAGAGAATTACTTAAACATGCGCGAATGAAACACAAAATTACTCGCGCTACATTTTAGAAGTGCAAACATTATAACATGATTAAAAGCCGAAGAAAGCAACATAATATGCTAAATAGCAGATTTGGCAGTGTATTTCTTCAGGCACCAAAACAGCTTCCACCAAGCAGAACACGCTGTCTTGGTTTCATGTTTTGCCTAAAATGGTTGAAAGCCAGTGGGTCGTTCTGTACCCGGAAAAGATAGCAGAAGAGGGAGTTTCGCACTTATTTCCTCCAGCTCCACAAGCCCAATTTTTTTTTTTATCTCTCGTCTCAGAAGTTTCACTGAGCTGTAATGTGGGGCTGGTTATGGCACGCTATATTAATGACAGCACAGAAAGTGAACTGCGTGGGAAAGAGAGGGAGGGTACCGCTGTGCTCAGATAGGATGGCTAAATACACTGACTACAAGGACCAAATTTTAAAGGGCCCATATAATATTATTTTGTGATTCATGTTAGAATGTTGTTTCAAATTCAATATGAATATACCCATTTAAATCACCAACAGCAAATATGTCAAATGTATTTCATAAACAACTTAACCTCCACTAAACAACTGTAGCACTGTCGTAAAATCATTTAGTAAAAGATACCAAAAACTACTCTTGGCTATATCCACAGAGCAGCCCACGATAACGATACCGAATCATCAAATTCAGCATCACAATATATCGCTATTTCAGCACACTCCTAGAAGTGAACACAAATTTGGAGAAATTCAATAATTTTCCTAGTTAGAATTGCTTAGTATTTGCATTTAAATGTATTCATTTAAGTCACTGAACTTCTCAGATGAGCCACATTGCTCTCCCTCTCTCCATTTCATGTTGGCTCCTGATCTGCAGCTAGCAGCGTTTATTCACTGGAATGAAGCAAGGGCATGTGCCCCATGTTCAACCACGAGTGAAGAACATTTAGTCCCTTCTCTCACTCTCATGAATCAGAACAGAGAAACACAGAAACAGAGAAACAGAGAAAAAGCACCTGGTCAAATTGGCCTGTCTCTTACACCTCTCTCCACATGGTTCTCATCCAACAAAATGGATTTTTAAATGTACTGGTCAAATAACTGCTTTTACAGTATACTCTATGAATTCTTTTCCTCGACCTCAGGAAATAAAGTCAGGCACAAGCTCTTAATGTTTTCAGAATTCAAAGTATTCAGAGCAAACCTTTTCTCCAAACGTGTTGTGTTAAACAAGAACAAACTATTTACAGCTAATGCTAGCCTGGGGAGTCCGGGACACATCAATCTTTTCTCTTCTTTTTCCATTTCATTAAAAACTGTCAGGGGACTAGGAGGAAACCACCACAGAATATGCCCAGCTAAATATCTGATCTACAACTCTGCTGGCACCAAAATGTTTTCAGAATTTTGCTAAATCAAAAGGCAGTTTGTTGCCAGGACAAACTTTCCAAACAGCACTGTTAGAATAGATCGCTTTTGTGCTTCACAAGAGAATGGGAGAGTTTGAAGAACAGTATGTGTTACTATGGAAATGAAGGCGCATTATGTCGGATCTACTTTTCCCCTTGGTATGACGCAGTTGACAATAGTCAACTATTTTTAAAATCTGGAATACTGCAGAGAGTGCCAGACGCCTATCAAGGAGTAAAATATACACATATATACACATACGTAATTTTTAATGATAACCTGCACCGTGCCAGAGTAAATGTGCCATAACTCACTGAGCGAAATATTTAGAATATTAAGCAGTAGTTAAGTGATCTGAATCTGAATCGTAGGGCTGGGCCATCAAAGCATTTTATTTGTTTTCCAAACGAGAGCCATTAGAGTTCCTGCCGTTGTCGTCACGCAATCCCAGCATGCATCTCCAAACCCCACACTGGCACTGGAAAATTCCCATAGAAATTAACAGCGTGAAATGGGATTTTCAGAGATTGTGAATTAACGTTGTAACGGTGATGTAATATTATCAAAGATAAAAGAAAGCCTGAGCCTTTTACCAGATTTACAAAGCTCCAGACTGTCGATAGAAGTGGATTTCTGCAGATAAACAAGTTACACATTAATTAAGCTATGAAAGTATTTTTACAACAGTATGTTTTTCTTTATTCGGTTTAATTTGAATAATTAAACCATAGTCTCATAACGATTCAAAAACTAAGTCTACTAAGAGAGTAGACTGAAGAGAAACGATCTCAAATGCTTTTTGCTAAACACTGTTTGTATGTTTAACACTGACTTCTTAGAAATGTGGATTGTAGAAAATAAAACCACAAACTAAAGTTAAATCAATAGTTTTTGTGTTCATGACATCAGCAGGAAGGAAAAAAGATTATGATTATTGTCTGATTTTTACCATATGACCTAGCCTCTATATCACTTTATACTTTTGCAGAACTTCTCTGTACACCACTGCCAAGTTAACTCACCTCCTCAAAGTTGCCCTCCATGGGTTTGTAGGCGAGGAGCAGCACCGACCTCATCAGATCTCCCACCAGGATGAAGTCTCCCTTGGTCTTCAGGTACAGGGCCATGATGTTGTTGTAGTGGTTGCACTCTGTCCTCAGCTCCTTCTCCGCGGTCCACTCGTACAGTCGAACCTGGGCACACGGCATGAGAGACAGGGGCTCGTCACATAGGCCTGTCTCGATACTTCTATATCCACTTATTCAATATTTGATAAACGGAACAATACATTTTGGGAATCAGTATTTATCGTGGGTAAAGTTTCTTTGCGTATTACGATAACAATCTCCCCATTACTGTGTGTCAATGAAACAAAACACAACTCCAGGTATGTTTTTGAGGAGATAACAACATTCTAACACAGCTTAAAGTTCACAAGAGTAAATTTTGCTCAATATCGGACCTTTAAAGTTATTGTGACAGTGGCATAAAATGGTTTCAAAACGTGTTATGACCGGCCTATGGTCACAAAGGCAGTTATAGTGCAGTAGAATGAATGGAGATGACATTTGAGTCCAACAGTCTTTCCAACAGCCTCACCGCACCGAGGGGGAGGAAGAGTTGATTAGCAATTGTCAGCTGCTGTTATAAATCCACTGTTTACAGCTAATTGCTCTCACCGCTTCGAATGTGTGTCTGAAGAGCCGACTCTATTTAGAAGAATAGATTTAGATTCAAGGGCGCAATTGATTTCCGCTGTGAGTTTGTATAATGCGAGCAAGGGTAGTCTGTGTTATTTGAACAAGTTTTTATGTTTTTTGAATGATTACTTGGTTGGATAGTGCTTATGGTAAGTATTTATCATAATTTTACATCAGTTCAGTGGCAGTCTGTGGGAAAATGTTGAGAAGAAAAAGTACAAAAAATTCTAAAACAGATTACCTCTACACATGTTATCAATACAAAAAATTCAAGCAACAATTTACTCACAATCATAACTATTGTGTAATTCATGTTTTGGCCTTCGTTTACAGGGTTGCTAGGTAACAGTTGTGGAATTATATCTATATATAGTACTTTTTTGGACATTCAAATATGCTTAAATATCTGCTGCCCATGTTCTCCCAGGAAGTAGAAAACAGACCAAACTAGACAATTTAGAGATAATTATATGAATTATGTTTTAGTGAAAAAGTACTGTAACTGTGTACTTTAAAAACATTAAAAGACATTTAAAGACATTTTATCATTGTTTCTGGTATTTTAAGAAAGCATACATAAAATCATACAGTATTTTTCAAACTATAAGTCACTCTGGAGTATAAGTCGCACCAGCCAAAAAATGTGTAATGAAGAAGAAAAAAAACATATATAAGTCCCACCGGACTACAAGTCAAACTTTTTGGGGGAAATTTATTTTATAAACTCATGGACCAGGAATCGACATTTCATCTTGAAAGGCGAGTTATAGTAACAACAATAGAATAAAAGAACAACAGTCTGGTATGTTAACGTAACATATAAACAGTTCTTCAGATAACTATAGCATAAACAACAGAACAGAAGTTTAACAAACTCTCCATCTCACTCCAACACTAAGTCCATTGATTCAACTGAATTCATCATCCTCCGTGTCACTTCTGAGCAACTCTCCCCGGTCCCGTGTTCCTCATTCCCGCTTTCCACCAGTCTCTCAAGTTTCTCGCTCACTCCAAACTTTCTTTCTGCTGTTCGATTATCGTTTTCTGCTGCATATTTCACTACTTGCAGCAGGACAGCAGCTCTTTCTGCAGGAGACATGCACAGAAAACTGATACACAAGCCTAGAGTGCCCTCTTGTGGCTGTCAGTCCAGACCACCCAAACCATGAAAAAACGTGTGACTTATAGTCCGAAAAATAGGGTAATTTTACATTTTGTTTACTGCGTCACAATATTGACATAAAAATACAAATGGGTCCATTGACTCCTGTCCAAAACTGCAAAACTGCTTCTCTGCTGATAGCCCTGCCTCTTCATAGTGACATTTCATCAGAGCGAATGCTACACTAGGCAACATTTTTGAACATTTATTCATGTCAAAACAGAGCTGTGGTGAGGAGGAGGTGAGAGTCAATGTGAAAACTGAAATTTGCGGAGCACTTGCGCCCTGAAATGCAGGACACAACATTAAGAAAAAAAAAAAAAACCTCAATGATGGGAAAGTAGATTCTGAATACTATGTCTCCTTTAAAGTTTTGGTTATAACTATATTGTTAGTTGTTACAAATGAAGTTGAATTAATGGTCCTGTGGCGAATACAGACAAATTATTTTTTATATTGATTACATTGGTTTTGTTTTATTTTATTTTTTTCATGGGCACGGACAAGCAATACAATATTTCAATTTGCATGTTTTTTAATCTGTATATTCACAAGAATCACATAAAGGTGCACTATGTAACTTTTGGGTTGGGGGTCTGTCACCTGCTTGTTTCTATGGACATCATTGCTCTGTTGGCATTAAACAGCTCTACTTTGCATTTAATAAATTACAGGTGGTTTTATAGCTCAAAAATACCTAGACAAAAACATTCTGACTGTGAGCGGGGGTCGCCTCTCCACAGATCTGACCTGTAACTTGGTCTGGTTTGGTCTCCATGAAGATAGAAAGGTTTAATGTCATACTGTGAAACATTCCAGGCAAAACTACATGAAAAAAGCATTGGAGGGTTTGTAGCGTAACGTAATAATGGCCAATAACATAATAACTGCCTATAACGTAATAATTTTAAAGTTATAAAGCCAATAATGTAATAACTTGCCAATAATGTAATAAAATGTCTAAACCAATAATGTTGGCATCAGGTTATTACATTATTGGCTTGTTATAAAACTGCTGCCAATAATGTAATAATTGTAATAATAATTTCTTAATATCATTTAAAGGAACAGTATGTAAGAAATAACTGTAAATTAATAATAAAATTACGTCGGAATCGTGATCATTTCATATACTTTTATCACCGACCATAGTAATCCAGCCTGAATATTCCCTTTCCCATAGAAATTGCAGCCCTCAATTTATGTTGATGTGGTCATTATTAGGGACGGGCATTCGATGAAATTTTCTTAATCGATCGTCGGAAGAATTAACGATCGATTATCGATTAATCATTAACGTGTTTATATTAAAATGATCATCATTATTATTACTATCTGCACTACTAATCTGCATAAATAAATTCAACTTTACGACATATAAACCGTAACCACTCTAGAGCCACATCAATCCGTTTGACATTATAATGTGTTTAATTCAGTTTTGCGCAACTCTCACAAAAACGAAACTTAAAACCGCATCGCTAATTTGCAGAAACTCAGCGAAGATAAAACTACAGCTCTTGTGTCGCTGATGCGGTCAACTTCTGTTGGATTAAAAGACATGATTCAGTGGAATACAGGTTAGTGTGACCATATTTGTGTTTGTCAAAACCAGGACACCGTACGGGGGGAGGGAGGTGGGGACTCGTCATCGACATTGCACTGCTCTCACCTGGCAAAACTTTTTCCCACTGGACACCGAAACGTATGTGCTGCTTTGTACACTGTGCACATGGACTCACACTTGTCCCCAACGCAACGGAAAGCGTGGAATTTCTTGTACAAATCATCGTTAAATACGCATTTGCGTTGCAGACTGACCGAATGTTTGTGTTTGCTCGCTCCTTCTGAGTGCAGAGAGCTACATGTACGGACCCCTGTTTGGTCACGCTACACACAGCAACCTACATTCGGTTTGTCGATTAAAATGAATGTAATCGATGAAATTGTTAATGATCAATTATCGATTAATCGATTAATCATGCCCATCCCTAGTCATTATATGTATATTCTGTGTTTGGGCCTGTTGCACCACCCTCCACCTCTGATTTCGGACACCTAGCTGGTTACCTCTTGTCTGGGGGAGGAGATACTATGCTCTGCAGTATTTCATGCGTGATTGAATTACCAGTTTTGGCCACAAACTTACTTACTGTTCCTTTAATCCTTTCAGATTTATTAGTTGAATTTAAAGTGTCACAATGTGAGATAAATTGTTACTTTTGTCTCTTTCAAATAGCTGCTTAAATACCTGAACACAATGGACTTACACTCTCTCACAGTTATTATTATTATTATTATTATTATTATTAGTGCTTTGATATGTATCTTCCTCCTTAGAAATTAGGACTATTTGTTTATTTAACTTGATGGTTACAATTATTTGTCTCACATGTAAAGAGTACAATGAAATCTAAATGTGAGTATTCTCAAATCATGAAAACATTCTTTCATTTTAATTCAACCTTCTACATACTGTTCCTTTAAATGATATTAATAAGCCAATAATGTAATAACAAACCAATAATGTAATAACTTATTACATTATTGGCATCAGGTTATTACGTTATTGGTTCAGGTATTTTATTACATTACTGGCAAGTTATTACATTATTGGCTTTATTACATTAAAATTATTACATTATAGGCAGGTATTACGTTATTGGCCATTATTATGTTATCAGCTGCTACAGGGTTGTCTATTGGACCCTGGTCTGACCTCGCCATTACCTACCTGTTCAGTCTATTCACAGTATTGGTGGCTTGTTTGGGCTGTCTTTGAGATAATAGCTTTTTCTTTTCACTTGCAACAGGTCATGATGTAGGTTAGCCTGCTGCGTGCCTCTTCTATTTATAGTCACATCATTTATCACAGCAGAGACACTGACGCAGTACAATTACTCTTAAAGGTCCTATTAGACTCTTGTGAGTTTTTAGCAGTGTCATCTCCACTGTTTTGTTTCGTTCACACATGTTTGAGTAACACTGCATTATTAGGCTGCCTGCAAAGCTCAAAACGCTCTATTCAACCTTGTGATGTCACGAAGCGGTAGAGATTCCAAGGCTGAAAATAACCAAATGACTCAGGTGAAAGTGTATGGAGTTTAAAAACATGACAGTTCCTCTATTACCACATGACATTACAAGGTGGAGTTTTTTCATCTTGAGTAAAGAACACAGCCTAAATATGCAGAACTTGTGTGTTAAACATGTGTGAATGAAGCAAAACACAACTCTGGGTATGTTATTGATGAGGAAACATTATAACATTAGCATAATATGGGCCCTTGCAGTCTACAACCTCATTTTGTAGTGTCAAGTTGTTAAAATAATTCCACAAATACTCCAAAATGTGCGAACTATCAACTTGGGGTAACAAGTCAGGAGCTCGCTAAGTCTGAACCTTGACTACTTGTTACCACGGATACACAAACAGAATTAGTTCAGCCAAATGGATTATTAGGACAGCCCTCGGTTATAAAGATATTCTCATAAATCCTTGATAATATCCCCATGGTCCCGCTGCGTGAATAAGCTTGAAAAATGTGAAAATCGTACCTAATCCATTTTGAAAAGTGATCTGCACTTTTAAGTCTCCATCCTTTTAATCCACGGGCGGCCCAGCAGGTTTATGGGACCGTGGGGGTGCCTTATTAAACCCACTCACATTTCATACAGCTATCAGAGAACCACAGGAAAAAAAAAAGGTTTGAAGGGGGCATTGGATTCTGAGCACGGTTCTTGAAGGCAAGGTTGATCAACACACAAGGGGTGTCAAAAATACCAGATTTTACAATTTATGTCTATTAAATATTAGGCCGAAATGCAATTGCACACATTTCAGAAAGCAACTTATTAAAAAGGTTCTATATTATGCAAAATTGACTCTTGTGAGCTTAAAGCCATGTTATAATGTTGTTACGTCCTCAAAAACATACCTGGAGTTGTGTGTTTCTTTCATTTATACTGATACCGAATACTGGTGCCGATATTGAAAAATTTACTGGATCAGGCATTGGTTAAACAGATATCCTGGTTGGGGCTTTAACTGGATGTACCTTGGTTATCCAGGTGAATAACAGACTGGACTGAAGGGACAACTGTAATGCTGTGTTCAAGAAGGGCATGAGGAGACTTTACTTCCTGAGAAACCTCAGGTCTTTCAATGTGTGCAGCAAGTTAATGGAGATCTTCTACCAGTCTGTGGAGGCCTGTGCCCTGGACTTCGCTGTGGTCTGCTGGAGGAGGAGCACATTGGGGACATTGGACGCATCGACAAACTGAACGTAAAGCCGGTCACGTGATCAGCTGTGAGTTGGAGACATTTGTCACAGTGAGGACACTGGACAAACTGCTGTCCATCATGGACACTCCTGCTCACCACTGCACCAGACTATAGAGGGACCGATAATACTCCCTACAACTGTACAACAACTCACCCACTGCACCAGACTGTAGAGGGACAGATAATACTCCCTACAACTGTACAACAACTCACCCACTGCACCAGACTATAGAGGGACAGAGGAGCTCATTCCTCAACAGGCTTCTACAGCTCCACTGAAACACTGAAAGATACAGAACTACATTCATACCATACTCCATACAACTGTACAATAACTCACCCTTATGTAACAGATAATACTCCCTACAACTGTACAACAACTCACCCTTATGTAACAGATAACTATGTCCTGTCAATAATCATATCATTGTTGCACTGTCTTCCTATGACCTCTTGTATAAAGCTGTGATTTTATTTTATTACTTATCTTTCCATTTTATTTTGACTTGTACATATACATTTTTATAATTATGTTTTATTTGACACCTGTCTCTTGCAATTTTTTAAGAATTTATTATTACCCTTTATGCTTTTTACTCTTCGTTATTATATTATATTGTGATGTGTGAGCTACGGTTTTCAAATTATTTCCCTTGTGGATCAATAGTTTGTCTAAGTCTAAGTCTACGTAAGTCTATGTAATAAGACTTTCTATGGGCTGATTAATGTGACCTTTTATCCTTTTATTCAGTCAAATCTGTTTAGTAGTTATGTGAAGGATACATAACAATTGTATAACACAATCGGATTTCTTGTGTAATAACTTAAGGAAACAAATGCCCTTTTCTGTCTCTGGTATCAGTTAATATCGGGCATCGGCAGATACTTAGAAGGAAAAGTAGTGATATCGAACTGAAAAACTGCTACTGAAAAAGATGGATCGTGAATCCCTAGGCCTGCGAGTCTAATTGCAACTGTCTCAAAATTACAATTTGAATGGCTACAGTTATAACCGCAATACTGAAATACGCTTTGGGGATTAATTGGGATTGATCGGTCTCTGCTAACAAAAAAATATTCCAGTTCTTAACATTTTATTCACTGTGGCAATGTGAAAAACTGAAACAGAACTAGTTCATTAGTGCCAAACCTACTCCTCACTTGGTAACGCATTCTTAACAGCCTAATAATTCACCAGCAAGAGTTTTTCACAAGACCTCTCACAACTTTCAGAGACAAAAGAGTGTGAAGTTTTGCTGTCACTACTCTACTAACGATTGGCCGTGGCAGTGATTGGCAGAATCTGCGGTGTATATATATTTATACTCCACTAATGACACGGCGTAGACTTTCTTGTTATGTTTGTGATTCCCTTTCTTTTTCTTTCTTCTCCTTCTTGTGGATAATGACATCGTTACATCACTGGAGAGTAATCCCTGATTGGGTGACGTGGCTGGTCCGACGCCAATAGTTCATCTTTTTGAATTCAGACACTCTGGATATGCAAACAGAGCGTATGACCCCAAGCCATGCTGCGTCGACCACTGACACCTGAAGACGTGCCACAAAAACGCAGGATAGTCTCGATGCGCATCCACAAAAACTTTGCATGTAAACTCAACGCCCTGACGCAACGGTCTGAATGCATCTTAAGAGCCACTTTTACAATATCTTACATGAAAAACACATGTACAGCCCCTTTGGTGACCTCTACAACCATGTTCTGGTATTAAGGTAATACTAGATTAACAAACTATACACGAATCTTGATCTGAAACATACTCTTCGCACAAGGCATAACTTGAGCAGCTACACATAACTTGAACATGTCATCGATGTCCGAGGAGAAGCGAGGCATGTGCATGCTGTGTTCTGGGACACCTCTTACCGTGCTATTGATACTGGCCAGCAATTTGCCATTGAACTCCACCATGGAATAGACCGCCCCCTTCACCTCCTTCTCTGCAACCGTCTGCAGCTTACCTGGAAGGGGACAAAAGGGAGTGGGAGTTACAAATTAGAACTGTGCAGTATTTTTTCTAGCATATTTCTGATTCGACTCATTATGATCTGATTCCTGATGTTGGATTATGGATGAAAAAGGATAATGAGATCACATTTTTTGGGTATAATGCCCATTGTGATCATTTGAAATAATTATTTAAGAAGTGTCAGTTAAAGGACTATGCACAGTGTAACCAGCTTGTCTCCATGGATGTCATATTGCTTTGCTTCGAATGTTCCACATTATGGCATTAAACCAAAAGCAGGTGATGCCAACAGTTCAGGTCAAGTCTGTGTCTTGCTAGGTATTTTTAGAGCATTAAAACACCTGTAGTCAAGTATACAAGATAATTAATTTAATGCCATACTGTGTGACATTCGATGTAAACCAGCCAAGAAAACAAGCAGTTGGCAGATCCTCCACCAGAAAAGGTACATAGTGTGTTATGTTAAAGGATCTATATTAGGTTATTTTCTGATCTATGTTCTAATGTAGTTTCCTCTTCACAAACATACTTAGGAGTCACAATATATCGAAACACAAGTCTCTGCTTAAATTAAGACTTATGACACAGACAGAGGGAACTACATAGACCATGATCCTTTGCTCCATTTCAGTGTAGACTAAATGAAGAAATAACAGTTCTAAGCACTTTTAAGTCTTAGTTCTTTGGATTAAGTCTTGTCAAGGCATTTCAAAAGGAAAAAGCAGCATATTCACAGTTTTAGCTGTTTAGCCTCCACAAAATATCGTAATAAATACCGTTCTGTGAGATGTAGATCGTGAAAATAACATACCAAGAGATTTGGTTATTGTTACATCTCTAATCATGAGCCTCCCCACCATATTGTGAGCTTACCCATGATATTGCAATAAATATCATATCGTGACGTTCATACCGTGACGATATCTTATCGTGAGACTTGGATATCGTTACACTCCTATTCACTTCCAGTCTGTTCCACCTTGTGATTTCATGTGTTAATACAGGAAGTGCTCCACTGTGCTTTTACACCTTCTCTAGAATGCTTCCGATCATTTCAGCCCTGGAATTTCCCACCTCTCCTCAACAAAAGGTAAAAGATAGCTGTTAATTTCATGACATCATAAGGTGGATCAGAGTGTTTTGAGCTTTGGAGATTCAGACAGTCTAATAATATAGGATTACTCAAACATGTGTGAATCAAACGACACACAAATCCAGGTATGTTTTTGATGAGGGAACAGCATTGTAACATGTCTAAAAGCTCAAAAGAGGCAATTTTGTGTAATATAGGACCTTTAAGTAATGTTTTCTGTCAATAAAACAACAGAGATTTAGTGGGCAGTATATGAAAACTTTTTTGTAATACATTAGTGTAATAGTCATGAAATTCAAAAACTTATTAACTGCACAGCTCTAGATCTGATGATGGTCAAAAGATAAATAGATTAATACTTTTCAATACCTCCTAAATGGTATACATGGTTCATACAACAATAACTCTGAGAACAGTGTGTGAGAGACGTGAGCAAAGTTTAAAAAAAAAAGAAATGGAGAAGGATTGCGATAAGAACGTCAGCAGAATGTAAAGCTCGGGCGCCGATAAGTAAAAGCACACTGCACACCGAACACCTTGAGAGCTGGGTTTTGTGCCGTGGAATGAGAGGATCACTGGGAGGAAGAGGAGCGATAAGGAGCGATGAGGGGATGATGAAGTTAAAGAGAGTGAAAAAGAGAGAAAATAGAGAAAGAGAGAGAGAGAGTGGAGGGCCGATAGGACAGAGAGTCCATGGGAGAGAGGGGGAAGCTGCCCCATGTGACAGGAATAGAGAACAGCTCTGTGGATGCACCTAGTCACAAAAGCCCAGACGCTCCACTGACTGCGACAACAGTGTGGAGGATCAAGCTGTCTCTAAATACAACGCAGCACAAGCCTAAAGAGGAACAGCACCTTCACAGAGAACCGGAGTGTCTCTGGCTTTGGAGCACACGTCTTTAACTGTTGTGTGCGGAGAAAGTTAATAAAGGTTTATTCTTAGGTTTGAATTGAATTTTCAGCTGCCGTCTTGGGAGAGAATATAAAGTGTGCAACATAACCGACGTGAATATTGTATTATATTCTATTCTAGTGTATGTAAGGTTGTTAAAAGCATCAAAACCCAGACACTAATCGATGCTAAAACTACTGTTGAAACTAGATACTCATAGGAACATGTTTCAATACTAAAAGAAATGCCAAAAAAGACAAAATTGGACCTTTCCTAAACGGTTTATGAATGGTCTTTGTCACTATTATAACTAGTATAAGACCACATAGTAAAGACACAACTGGTATTTTGTCTTGAAAATATCATTACAGAATATGTTTAAATTCCGAAATAGCCAATATGAGCTCAGACAGATGTTTATCAAAAACAAATGAGAACAAACATTATGACATTTTGTAAATCTCTTGAAGGGGTGGAGCTCTGGAACAATTGTACAGAAGACCTAAAATTGTGCACCATTCTCAATCACTTTAAGAAGAAATTTCAATGTTTAACTCTGAGCGGATACATGAATTATAATACTTAGTTTGTGCTATAGTACTATGCTGTACTCTTGCTCACTTGTTTATTTTCTCTTGCTGTATATATGAATGAACTGGTTTCCAGATGATGCTATCATAAAGGAATAAAGATAGGCATAATAAGTTCAAGCTTCAGCCTACACCTTATCAGTCAGTGTATGTTAAATATGACTGGCTGTGGAATAATGCCAGAATACACCTATGACGAAAATAAATTAATCAGTCAAAAATGACCTTATTGTCTGACAAGGGTGTTGTTTATTATCTTTGTGGTATTGAAATTCAATTTTAAATTTCAAACTTGTTTTCATGACAACAAGGAGTTATCTAAGCTATGCGGCAAAGTCAGTCCTGGATTATATTTTAATATAATTAGCTTTTAAGACTAGCAGCTCCAATTAAACAAATTATGTAACTGTAAATCTCAAAAAGACAAAAAAAAAAAAAAAAGAAAATGTTAATTCTGTAGCCTGCTTGATTTTATGGTTTTGAAAATGTGAAAAACAGAAATAGTTCACTTGAACAACAGTCAATTTTTTGAAGGGTTTATCCATTGATCCGAAGGTTGGCGGTTTGAATCTCGCTCTCTTTGGTTAGCAGCCAAATGCACTGACCCACAGGTTGGCAGTGCGATTCCAGCTTGTGTCCTTGGGAAAGACACTTAACTCACCTTACCCCCAGTGTTTGTGCACACTGGTGTATGAATGTGTGTGTGAATGGGTGAGTGGTTCTTTGATGTAAAGCGCTTTGAGTCCCTTGAAGGTGGAAAAACGTTTAAAAAAAAACATTTACCATGTCTACAGTTTGCAATGGTCCAAAGATTTTCCTCAATTACCTTATGCATTCAGAACATGCAAAATATGTCATTGTGGTGAGTATAAAAGCTCTACTACCATACTAACGTGCATTTCCTGAATTTCGTGAAAACATGTGATTTTTGAATGAAGTTTAGCAGGGTATACTATATTACAATCGTTTATCAAATGTTAATGCTCCTGGATGAGTTGATATTTACACTACTGTGTTAAAGAAACACAATCTCATCACTGGTTAAAATATTGCAATATAAAATTTTCTCAAAAATGTTCACTAAAACCAATTCTTCACTCTTCTAAACTAGGGATGTAACAATAACGGAAATATCGTGATAATGTATCGTCAAAAGTCTCTGCTTAAATTGCAACAAAAGCGCAACAAAAGTGCAAAAACAGGGAACTATTGTAGACCATGATCCTTTGCTCAGTTTCATCACAGATTACATGAAGAAATAATTATTAGCACTTTTAAATCTTAATTATTTGGATTATGACAGAACCAAAGTCTTGTCGAGGCATTTTAAAAGAAAAAAGTAGCATATTCACAATTTTGTCAGCCTCCACAAAATATTGGAATAAATATCGTACATAAGACGTATATGGAGAAAGTATCATACCGAGAGATTTGGATATTGTTACATCCCTATTCTAAACAACTAAAATGTATTCCAGGTCATCCAATCTTCCCAGAGTGAGAGGCAGCGTGTGGAGATGAAGAAGTGACCCACCGTCTGTGTAGTGGAAGACGATGATGCGCCCCTGCTTGGGCTCGGCCTCCTCCGGGTACACCATGGCTGTGCCCACGATGAAGTAGACAGCCGGATCCTTCCCCAGGCGACACGACACCATGCTCAGGGCGTACTCACTGGGCAGGAACTGATGTGCATGGAGGACTGACGAACACAGAGCGCAGAGGATTAGAACAGGGAAAAGCAAACACCGGCAGAATAGTAAGTAGGACTGCAGTTTGGGGATATCGAGGTTTTCTATCAGAACAAGTGCATTGTAAAAAGGAATCTCTATATGAGGTAATATGACTTCCGTTTGGGTAGGTCAATGGGCAGGTTTAAAATTTTATGTTTATGATTAAAAAAAGACATACAAAAGCAAGATTTCTCAGTTAAAAAAAGGGTATTTTACTTCTATCGTGTATTGACTGCTAACACATAACATACTTAGATCACCAACTTTTATTATTTTGAAAATGATCTATTTGGCAAAACAATTTAACATGTCACTCCCCCTTCACTATTACACTATTACAAAATCAGAATGCATTACACTAATGAAAGTACTGCACATCGCATCAGATTTGTCAAGTCAAGCTTTTATACATTTTAGGGATGCACCGAAACAATACTAGTATTTGATATCGCCGTCGATACTGAACATTTTCATGGATCGGATATTGTTTTAAAGATATTAGTTCAGTCAATATCCCATTTTGGTTTATAAACTCGTGTAATTAGATGATTCACTGGCCTGAAATATCTCTTAAAAAATAAATATCTCGTGTTTTTTCAAAGCTGTTCAGTACTTAGTTCAAATGATAAATGGAGCTAGAGTAAATTTAGCCTGGAAGACCTACCCTCGCTCCAGTCTATCTCACAGCTTCTCCAGTGTTTACTCGCTCCTCAGCCTTCATCACATCACTACCCACTGTTCACTGCACCTTCTCTTCGTCCAATCAGTGCCCAGTCCGCCCAATTTAAGCCCCATTTAACCTCTCTTTGTAATTTAAACCTTACCAGCAACCCCTCGGCTTTTCGGCTTCCTATCCTCTCATTGTCCCCTTCACTCTCCTTGGCCTCACCTCTTCCACCTCCAAAGTCCAGGCCCAGGGGAGAAAACATCTCCTGAACGTGATATAACCAGCCACGCCCTTCATCACACTGTCTTCTACCAGGGTCTAAGCGCCAAAGCTAACACATTCTATAAAACTACTTCTCTTTGTGTCTGTCTGAGTCTTTCCAGGTTGAAATAACAGTTACAAAATGCATTTGGATCATTTTGTAGTTTATAATTAAAGGAAATGAATCCTATATTTTTAGTCTCTGCTCTGGAAAGTATCAGTATCAGTATCAGAACAGTGAAAGCTCGGTGCATCCCTAGTATATTTATGGAGAATTGTCGTGTGGGTGCATGGATGACAAAGGCTTGTGGGCTGAGCATTGAGGACAGAAGACAAATTTCCTCACACGGGCAATAAAGTGTAGCTTAACCTCAACACTCCTTGTTGCACTGACAGGTGCAAAGTTGTAAGCTGCGTTGACTGACCTTCGGATTCTTTTCTGCCCCTCTGGTCCACATATTACCCACACCTCGCTCCTATTCTTCCTGAAGCATTCCTACATGGCTCTATACGACGTGGAGCGCGCTAATGAGTCCGACCACATGGGAACAGAAGACACAGTGACATTGGGGCTCCTGGTTCACCTTTTACCCACAAGGAGCCCTACATGTTCCTTTTCACACAATTAGAGCAGCTCCACACATAAGAGGCGTGTTTCTCCTCCTTTATCTGCTCTGTGCCCTCTGCCGCTCAGTCTAAGTCTGCCTGCAGGAAACACATCACTCACCTTCATCAGTGCTATGCTCATTACTCACTGCTGGATTAGCCAGGCTAGTTTGGGCTCAACTGACGCTCCCTGTAGCCTATTGATTACATAATGCTACATAGCAATTTCTGCTTGTTAGTGCAAATGATGAAAATGTTCTAACACATACAGAATTTGTGAAGTGTGGCTATTAGGATGTAAAACTGAAACTAGGGATGGGCATTTGATGAAATTTTCTTAATCGATCGTCGGGAGAATTAACGATCGATTTTCAATTATAGAATATATAGAGTCACATCAGCCTGTTTGAGATTATAATGTGTTTGCACAAGTCTTACAGAAATGAAACTTAAAACCGCATGGCTAATCTGCATAAACTAAGCGACAAAAAAACCCAAAAAACACTAATGTGGTTCAGATGCTGTCAGACTAAAGGACAGAACTCAGTGGAATTCAGTATTCTTTCTGAGGAATGTTGATGATGATAGTGAGTCTGTTCTGTGTGTGTGTGTTGCGTTGGAGCTGATTTATATTTTCAGAAATCATACGTGTGCAGGTTTAGCACAACTCTTTATGTGGCAGTAACCAGGAAACTGCGTATACATGCAGCATGATGAAACCGGGATACAGATGTGCATGTAAACACACTCATTGAGTGGTACAGAGATCTCCAAGTAGCCAGAGCCAAAACGTGGGAGTGTGAAGCCGCAACTCCAGTGTTTGCGCTGTCAGACGCAGGTCTCTATGCACAGCAACCTACATTCAGTTTGTCAATTAAAAATGAACGTAATTGACGAAATTCTTAATGATCAATTATTGATTAGTCGACTAATCATGCCCATCCCTAACTGAAACTAGGGCTGATTTGAATGGATGCAATTAACAAATCTAGGCATGCACCAATCCAGTTTTTCAAGCTCCAAAATCGATATCGATATTTAAGCTGTAAAAACCAGTGTACGCACTGAGAATGGCATTTTTTTCTCCAAATTATTACAAATTTGATCCAATTGTGTTATGTAATTGTTATTTATCTTGCCGCTAACTACTGAACAGCTTTGTATGAAGTAAAGTTCAAAGATTATGATATGTCCTAGACCTACATCAGTCTATTTATTGGCTGATGTAAGTCTAGGACAAGATTAAAGGGTATGGGTTTAACTAATATCATGGGACCAGTATTGGTATCATGCATCCATTTGCAAAGGCACAAGTAGGATAATTTCCTTCACATGTCCTGCCTTAATACAGTTGTCAAAAGTATCAAAATTGAGATACCAATTGATACTAAAACAAGTATCAAAAATAGATACTCATTGATTAATTGAACCTTAACTGAATAGCTTTACACCACTTTGTGCTACATCATGTATGATAAGTGCTATACAAAAAGTTTTATTTATTTATTTATTTTTATTTAATCATACTGAGCTGTATCAGAACAAGGGTAAGAGCACATAGACTAGTACAAACCCACTGTAATGGACCTTTATGTAATATAGAGACTGAAGGCTTACACAAATATAAAACCACAAGGTCTATCTAAATGAAAGTACTATGATTTCATTTTGAAAATCACATTCTATTGTCTAAATAAACAGTGTTAATTATCATTTTGGTATCAGAACCGGTGTGGAGTATCAAGTATATTCCTCAGTATTAGGGATGGAACAGGACAGAATTTCCGCACGACGAAACAAGATACAAGATTGGGTCCATGAGAACGAGACAAGATTTTAAAGATAATTTCTAATATATACATTTCATGATTAATTTTCCAATTTTGGGCTCACATTTTTATTTATTTATTTGATTTCATATTTTTGGTATAGTATTCTGCATGAAAACTGTTAGCCCTGTAGTGTAGATCTGCACAAACATGTTCTGAAATGTGAGTCTTGTATTCGTGTGCCAGCCTTTGCCAATTCTTCTGGATGCGTTTCAAATGTGAACTTTGAACAGAATCCAATAATTAAAACGCACATTGCAAATCTAATCAAAGCGCTCCTCAGAAAAATCGCAGTTACATATTTACCAAATGGTGCAGCCCTTTTAGACAGCAGCACTAGCAGTACACTAACTCAAGAGGAGGGCGTATGGATAAACTGCAGTTACTGATTTACATGTATTAACATATGATAGAGGTTAATGTATGCCGCTGTGGTACTCATCTATATGAAAGGAAAGCTTGACGCGGCAGAATCAGCATTGCAAAGCAGCCGTTCACATTAGTTACCCACCGCATGCAAGAGACATGCGTGAGCCCTGTGTGTGTGATCAGAGCCTTAATGGCCTCATAAGCATGTGATTTGGGTGTTTAGGGAAGCACAAATAAGGCTTTGATGTAACACTCCACGTCTCAGCTAATAGCGTACTTTATAGACCTGATACTCCTTTGGTCTGGGAAACATCACACTAAGTAATAAGACATTAGTACACTATTTAAGGAAGGTGTTGACTTCTTCAGTGGCTCAGAAAAGCTGGGGCGTTCTACATGTATGTTTATGGCGTATGGTGACTAGAGTTTCAAACTCAAAAACTGGGACATGCCTGGTTTGGGGCGGTTGGTAATAATAAAATTGTGAAATGAGAGCGTAATTAAGGAAAACTGTTCTGCACTCGGCCCAATCATGACTAACGTGAGTCAGTATAGTTGCACTTTCTTTGTGCTTTGGTCATATTAAGCAGCTTTTCTGCTTTTTTGTTTACTAGGGATGGGCATGATTAATCGACACTTGATCATTAAGAATTTCATCGGTTACGTTCATTTTAAATCGACAAACCGAATGTAGGTTGCTCTGCGTAGCGTGACCAAACAGGGGTCCGTACATGTCGGTCAGCCTGCAACGTACTGAAGTGCAAATACGAACGATGTGCAACGATGACTTGTACAAGAAATTCCACGCTTTCCGTTCCGTTCGGGACAAGTTGGAGGACAAGTCGGAGGCCATGTGCACAGTGTACAAAACAGCACATGTGTGTCGGTGTCCAGTGGGAAAAGCTTTGCCAGGTGAGAGTAGCGCAGTGTCGATGACGAGTCCCCACCTCCCACCCCCCCGTACGGTGTCACACTAACCTGTATTCCACTGAGTCATGTCTTTTAATCTGACAAAACTTGACCGCATCAGCGCACAAGAGCTGTAGTTTTATCTTCGCTTAGTTTATGCAAATTAGCGATGCGGTTTTAAGTTTTGTTTCTGTGAGAGTTGCGCAAAACTGAATTAAACACATTATAATCTAAAACGGGCTGATGTGGCTCTAGAGTTGTTACAGTTTATATGTTGTAAAGTCATCTAATCAATTGTTTTGGATAACTGTGCTGAGACAAGCGACACAAGGCTCAAAACTGAGACTGTCCCCGTTAAATAGGGACGCCTGGTCACCGTACTATGGCAGAATGTTCAGCATTTGGCGACTTGGTGAAAAAATTAATTGAAGCAAAACATTTTCAAAAGCCTGTAATCAATGAGAGCATGCAGGGGCCCACTTAGGTGTTTGATTTTCAACAAAAAACTTGAGAGTGATCGACTGAAAAGCTGTTTAACAACACAAATGAGCTCACCTGTTGTAGCTCCAACTAAATCAGTACTTCAGTTAAATTGGTGTTCAAATAAAGTTTTATTGTTCTAACATGAGTGACACAGCTTCAGACAGAGCAGTGCCTTCTGTTAGCTTCACCCCCAGGGAATGCTGGCTAAGCTCACTGTGTCTCAGATGAACGGATAGAGAAATTGCATTTATGTAATGTCCCACACTGTCAACTCAGTCCTTGTTATCTTCGTCATCAGAGGTATAATACTCCCTACAATAGAGGCATAGACAGACTGGACAGCACTGGAATGGACAACACTATGACAGGATTCTGAGGGTTTATGTCTTTGAGTTGATTGACTGATTCTCCAACACTAACTTTATTAAAATGTTAAAGGGTTCATCTCCTGCAAAATAACTCTTTTCACATTGTATCTGCACATTTACAAGCACAATTTGGGTTTTGGAACATCCATTACACAATAGTTATGAAATCTTACTGATTTCTTAGAGGCAGTCACAGACCAAGAACTATGAAAGGTCGACTATTGCTCATCCCCCCGCCCGTCCTGAGAAAGCACAGGCTCCGCCCTCCAAATGTGACGTAGCGATACAGCGCATTCAGCCGCATGTGTTGGACCCGGAATCGGACGAGGACTTTGAGGTGCACGAAGCTCAAGCACCGCGTCGACATCAGCTGAACATTACTGATTGGTAAAGTATTAATAAACACTAGTAGATAAACTTATTATATCCCGTACACTGCAGTGTAGAACAATCATCTTATGCTGTCGCGGGGCGGAGGCAGTGGAGTGGGGGCGAGTGTGAAGCGCTTTCTGCTACGTCAAATGCGTCATAGGTGTAGCTGCCATGTCGCTGTAGTAGCTTTAGTTCGTTGTCACGTGGGGGGGGGTGGCAGAAATACGCTGCAGTTTCTTAAAAAAATGCCGAATCAATCTAAACACCACTTCGGCGACAAATACAAGGCCCACACATCACTCTTAGAAGGTAGAAAGCTCTGAAAAGTTGATTTTGCATGAGATGGGCCCTTTAACTTTAACATAAAAAGTAAAGACTCAGTGACTTCAGTTTGTCGTGTTATTTTTTAAATATATTATGCCTCAAAATTAGCATTAGCGTCCGCAGTGAGACACAAACACCTGTCTTTATAAACATAGGAAGCGTCCTCTAGTCAAGTTGTCCCCTCATTTGTAAAGTTTTTAACATGCTGTCAGTGACATCCACCCACAACTGACTGTCCACTGCCTGACCTTTAAGTATTTATTAATTTTAGCGCGACTCAGCGAAAACCCCATAGAGATATAATAGGACAGGAAGCAGTGACGCTAATGATGAGCTAGCTGAGCGCTGTTGTGCACAGAGCCAATTTCCTCTGTATTTTATAATGATGATAACACCATCTTTATTAGTCTCATAACAGTGGCTCACAAACTTTTCACTCCAAGTAGCACCAAAGAAAACATTGGATTTCTGAATACTGCCAGATCTAAACCAAGGACTATTAAAGGTCTAATCTGGGACTAAAAGGTTTAAAGGTGGACTACATCATTTCCACTGTAGTTCTAAACAGGTAATTATCCGAAGCGGGACAAAAAAGTGGAAAAAATGAATTCTAAATGAGGCAAACCCACAAACTGAAGAGTTGTCCAAGTAGCACCTGAAGGAGCTCGCGTACCACTGTTTGAGAAGCAGTATATCATGTTGGAGAGGAATGCTGCCAGTCTATTTCGCAAAATAGGGCGTGGGAACGAACCTCTTATCTAAGTTGTACAAAAAACCCTATGGGGGAGTCTCAGATTTAGTATTGCCTGGTTAAAACTACACTAAATACCCTTCTCCTTACATCTGTCACAGTAATTACTATATCAACTTATTGTTCAGTATATGAAAGTTGGAATGATATTTTCTGAGGATATATTTATCGCGGTTACTTTTCATTTGTACTAGTTGGAAACTTTTGGTAATATTTCTGTATTATGATAAGATGATTAAAGGTTGCTTTCTGTTATTTATTGCAGCTCATATATTTTTAACAATATTGTACATTTAGAAGACTTTTGGGAGATATTTCTGCTTTATGGTTTGGTTTTAGTATCATTGTTTATCATGTATATAGTCTTCAGCAATATATCACACTTTGTTTTAATAACACGTCTATTTCTACTAAAATAAGTACTGCTTAGATATCAGAAAAATCTTTGAATATGGAAATTTACTGTCTGTAGTGGGCCCTGGGGGTGGAGTGTTTTATCCAGGGACACAACAATGCTTGCACTGGCACCTCTCGGTTTGTAGGTGATTACTTAACCCCTGCACCACTGCCACCCCCCACAGCTCTGACCTGCTTACACAGTATCTTATTCTCCCTTTTAAGCCCAGAGCCCAGTGTGGCGTGTCAAACCTTCAAAGGTGTGCTGGTCGACCACCAGCAGGCTGTGCACCTCCACCTCCTCTCCGAAGGAGGTCTCATGGGGAGAGGTGCTGCTGGGGAACAGTTTACTGGAGCTCACACTGCTGGAGAGGGCCTGCAGGAGGGGACAAAAAGCACTTGTGAGGATTACACATTCTAAGGATTACATTAAAGCTACACTGCATAACATTTCTAGAATCTTCCATCGTATAGATTAAATGTGGCCATAACAAGGGAGACAAGCAAGTTACAGCACTATGGTACGCTAAATTACAGTTCAGATTTGTGGAATGTTGCTCCTGGTCACAATTTTTTTAGCAAACAGAAACACCAGTAATTCATAAATTCTAGATCGATATTGTTTAAACTCATACCATGGAATATTCCAGGTAAAGCAATAACATCTCTATGGAGACAAGAAGGTAGCGGGCCCTCCACCAGTAACGATTTAGATCATGTGGAAGAAAAATTCCAAGTTCATGTTTGTTTGCTGTAGTGGTTTCTTTATTGATTGAAAATTGGTTCCTGCACAGACATCATGCGTGCCTGTGAAGCTGACCACAAACAAAGGGATTTTATAGGGGTGGGACGAGATACAATTTCCATTTACTTTATTTAATATGTCTGCTGTCATTGTAACTGCTTCTGGGGACTATACATTCTCAAAAAAATTGCCAGTACGATTTTTTCAGTAAACACATAAAAACATGAGGAAAAAACTCTCACAAATAGTAGTTTTAGTATGTTTGCACGATCTTGTGGCAATTTTGTCTCGTAAGATCTTGTCCCATCCCTGGTATTTTGTACACAAAGAGGTATGCAGATTAAATATTGAAAAGGAATGTCACAGCAATAACAAAGCACCCTCATAAACTCCCCGTTGGTAAAACAGTGGTCATTGTTTCAAAGGATGATCATATCAGGTACAGCTGAGATAACCAAGGATAGCAGCAGGGGGCCAGAATGAATACTAAAACCAGAGAATAATTACTTTTCTTCCACAATCACAGTACAACACAACTAGTGAGTATTTTGCTAATGAAATAACAGCACATTGCATCAGGTTTGTGAGGTTTAAGTGTATTGTTTTGTATCCTACTGTTGTATATTTATGGAAAATGGCTGTGCAAGGGCAAGGTGACGAAGGCTTGTAGGCTGAGCATTAGACAGAATCTTACAGCTAACCATAAGGAGGATTCGAATAGTACCCGGGAGAAATCACTAAATTAGTTAAACATGCATGAATGACAACCCACTTCAGGCACGTTTTTAATGAGGGAACAATGTTATAACATGGTAGAAAGATCACTTTGCATAATAATCAGTCTCCCACAGTATCCACACTCAGTATTGTGATTAGGATTGTCAAATATGGATCGTCAGACACTAATGTAAAGCAATAAACATTTAATTTCAGAAGATATATTGCTATATTGTGAATAAATCCTCATGCTAGGGATGTATAGATACAAATTCTGGTATCTAATCCAGGCCCAGAACATCTCGTAATTTACAGTACAAAGGTGTTTAAATAACATTCACACATTTTGTTGAAACAATAATGGAAAACAAAACTTAAGCATATAAATAATATTTTCAGTGGCTGCTCTGGTATTTGTTTATATACTAACGAAGTTTCTGTATCGGAACTGAAAAAGCAGCATCCCTATTATTGGACTACTGACTACTCCTGGTCTAATTAACATCCAAAATGACAACACTGTGGAGCTGACAAAGGAGACGATTTTAAATACAGGCCTTATACTCAAATAACTCAAAGAAAAAACAAGATGATAAAAAGAAAAAACAGCATTTGTTATCTCGTTTGAAACTGTAGAACCAGATTTACAATTCTGAACACCCACACAGATACATAGACAATTTATGATTTTATGTACCAACACAAACACAACTAAGAGTAAGATAAATGCGATTTGATGGTGGAAATGCTAAGGGCGAGTATGACGATAATTTACGGATTTAAAAACAGCTCAGGAGACCTCCAGACCTTCACCTACGATATAACAATCATGTCAAATTCAAAATCTTGTATTTGTTTTGTTTTGAGTGCTCAGAGGGAGCAGATGTACAGAACAAAATTAATCAAACAAGCTTGAGTGAAGCAAAAGATACAGCTGTGGATATGTTTTTGATGATGGAACAATGTTATAACAAGGTTAAAAGCTCAAACAAGTCACTTTTGCATAAAATGTGGCCTTTAATTTCAGTAGATTTGTCTAGACCTAGACCAGATTTGCAATTCTGAACACCCACCTACATAAATACTGTACTTTTTGGACTATAAGACGCACTTTTTTTCATGGTTTGGGTGGTCCTGCGACTTATACTCTTATATATTAAAATTTACAGACTGACAGTCACGAGAGGGCGCTAGGCTTGTGTGTCAGTTTTCTGTGCATATCTCCTGCAGAAAAAGCCACTGTCCTGCTGCAGGTAGTGAAATATGCAGCAGAAAACAGTAATCCAGCAGCAGAAAGAAAGTTTGGAGTGAGCGAGAAACTTATGAGGGACTGGCAGAAAGCGGGAATGGAGAACACTGCTTCATGGCAACTTAGAGGGGGCACCATGCAACTTTCCTGGAAGTGATTGGATGACAAAGCCTGGACTTCAGTGACAACCAAAGTTGCGCGGAGATGCTCAGAAGTGACACCGAGGATGAAGAATTCAATGGATTCAATGAATTTAGTGATTTGGAGTGAGATCGAGACTTTGGTAAACTTATGTTCTATTGTTTATGCTGTAATTATCTGTATAACTAATTATGTAACGTTAACATATTAACGCCTATTTCAGTCTGTTGTTCTCTATTCTATTGTTATTACTAGAACTTGACTTTCAAGATAAAATGTTGGTTCCTGGTCTGTGATTTCATAAAATTAATTTCCCCCAAAAAGTGTGACTTATATGTTTTTTTTTTCTTCATTACAGATTTTTTGGCTGGTGCGACTTATACTCCGGAGCAAAAAATACGGTAGACAACTTATGCTTTTATGTACCAACAAAAACACAACTAAGAGAGCCAATATTTATCATATCATAATTATTGCATTTCCATGTCAAAAGTTTAGCTCCACTAGATTGAGATATTATACAAGTCCATGTAGTTTCTGTATACTGCTGTTTTTTTTCTGCAAAGTCTGCACCTTCCTCCTGCCAGCGAGATGCAGCAATTAGAATGAAGAGGAGACATCTTAGCTCTGACATATGCTAGGTTTGGATACAGTGGCAGGCAGCATATACCATCCCACACATATCTGGCCACTCGAGTCGACTCAGGCCAAAATACAGCAAGTAGCGATTTTTGGTTATTGGCGCCGTTATAAAATATTGTCATGTAATAAAAAAAGTACAGATGTAAAAGTAAAAATGTCGCCGCTGTGTGCTGTCACCATCTAATCGTATACCATTTTTATCCGCCGTGAACCATGAAGTAGAACTGGTGCACTGTTAGCATGCTAGTTGCTGTTAACATTACAGTAATAATTAGGATTAGGATACAACAAGTACGGAATAGTGTTGCCAAAAGTATCAAAGACAGATACTAGACAATAGAGAGTCTGAAATGTTAGGATCGTGAATAAGTTTGAACCACTTCAAACCTAATTTCGATCAAATATTTCACGTACGGTGCCTTAAATGTTTTTTTTGTTGTTGTTTTTTACACTTTTTAACACATTTTAATCAACCATGTAAGCAAGTCTGTCAAACAAAATGTCAGATTTCATTTGTTTAGATGATCTACAAAAACAGCTGCTGAACAAAATCAACGTTTCAGAGCAGCGCTAACGGCTAACAGGAATTTTCATCTATTGTATCAGCAGGCCCCCAGTCGGATATAAATATTTTTACATAGTCAGCGTATCAGATAACAGTGCAGGCAAACAAGCCCTTGGGTGTTTATAAACCGCACTTCTTCACTTCAGAAAGAACACGAGCAACTATGAAGAGGTTGTATAGGCAGGGTTTCAACTTCTCCTAAATAAAAGAAAGAAAAACTTTAAAAACTACTTATACTTTATATTTGCTATTTACAAAAACTTCTTGCTCAGCATAGATCACACAAACTCTTATTAACTGCATAGTCGCTTATCTGTGTTTGTGGTTACAATTTCAGGTGTTTTCAAACACTTTTCCAACCTTGAAATAGCCCGGCTTACTCCTTTTTCTGGTTTTCTTGGTCCATGTGAAATAGCTCCACAGGGGTTTAATGTTTCTCTGGACCAGTTGTGATAGGGGAGAGATTTTTTTCATTTCTTTAACCAAATCAAGAGATCAGCGACCATACTAGATTGTGTTTTACTGCAGTTTAAGTTGGATGTTAATCGTATGGGACAAATAATAGACATTATGTGTATGGTTATATGGTATGTGGTTGACGTGCTCTTGGGTGCCATTCTGGGTACCTGGAATCTCATGTTTTAGACCTTGAAATAATTGCCGTGTTCCTGCAAGACACACCTTGTTCCGATGAACTCCCTATACTGGGAACAGTGCTTAGGAAGCAATCTAGTAGCAAGTATCACTATTAGTATTCAGGGTATCCCCAGGTTTAACTACCCCAAATTTAAGACTTTTTAAAGACTTTTTAAGACCACTTAAATGAAAATTAAGACCAACATCGCACCCATTATGCGGGTGGAAAAACACCATATCCAATTTCAATAATGACCAGCCAACTACTATATCTAGAATCTAAGAGCCACTGGGGATTAAACCTACACTTCCCCATGATCCATCCAATATCTTCCTCCACTCTACTGATGTTTACTCATTGCTGCCGGCGCCAGAAACCAAAGTACTGTTTGCGCATTCTCCAAATTAAAACGTTCATTCAAGTTACATTATTTAATGTTGTGTTTTTTTTTTCCTCCCTCCACTGCAGCCCGGTTGAGTTTACAAAAAATAGTCTAATGAAGTTTAAGACTTTGTGAAAAAAATAAGACTTGGAAAACATAATTTAAGACTTTTTAAGGCCTTAATATAGGAACATGAAATTTAAGACCTCTTTTAGACTTTTAAGACCCCGCAGCCACCCTGGTATTAGAATTACTATTGAAAAAACGTAACTAGGCAACCTCTTCCGACATGCTTAACGCAATTTGAAGGCAGAAATGCTAAGGGCAAGTCTGACGATAACCAGACCTTTACCTATTATATAACAATCATGGGAAATTTAAAATTTTGTGTTTTTTTTTTTTTTTGGGTGCTCAGAGGGAGCAGATGAACTACGGATGAACAGAATTCATCAAACAAGCATGAATAAAGCAAAATATACAACAGCAGGTATATTTTTGACGATGAAACACAGTTATAACATGGTTAAAAGTTCTAATAATTCAATTTTTTCAGTAGATTTGTCTAGAATTTACTTGATTAAAGAGGTTTCTGGCTAATTGATTGTCAATGGGGCTTCTTATTTCAAGCTAAATCTTCTTGGAACAATGAAAAATGTAAAAAGTATCTAAACTAGTAAATCACTGAAATTATAATTCCTGATTTAAGTTGTTTTCACCCAAGGCCAGATACTACACTTTGCAGAGTACATCACCTGACCATGAGCCTACTGCATTCTCCCAACAGGATTTTGCAACAACACTGAGTGGTGGCGTAAGGGTCAGAGCTGGCGTGTGTTAGTGTGTGTGTTAGCGTGTGTTTGCATGTGTTTGTGATGTGATGTAACTGTACCTGGGTGCTTGCACTGGGCCTCACAGCAGACGTGGTCCCGCTCACATCCTGGATCTCCACGCGGCTCGACAGCACTCCGAAACACTGAGACACCTCTTGGTAACAGATCCGCCTGGAGGACGGGAAACCAGGCCACAGAGAAGGGGAGTGAAAAACAAGTAATGCGGACAAAAGGGGCTGGATAATGCGCTACATGATAATAGGAGCAGAGGATTCTATTTTGATCATATGCACTTTTAACAAGAGATGCGGTTTTTGCTGATAGACTGTCCATTACTTCTTATTTTTACCAAGGCTTGACATGAACTCACTGACCGACAGACAGCTGAATAGCAGGGGGTGGGAAAGAATTACAAATAGAACTTTTTGGCACAATAAGTTGCATATTTTCATTTACTAGTCAAACTTTGTAAAACTAAAAACTTAAAGGTACACTGGGTAACTTGCCCGGTGGCGAGTCTCCACGGAGAAGTGCCTAGAATGTTCCACTATAGGGCCATAAACTTAAGAATCTCCATGAATAATTCAATTCAAAGGTGTACATCGAATGCATATCTCCAGGGCCAGGTTATCTTCTATGTATCCTGAAGTTAGCCCATTGTGCAGCCGATGTGACCTGACTGAGACGTCCCTCGGCCACATGTTTTGGTCCTGCTCATGTCTGCAAACCTACAGGAGGAACATTTTTAACACTCTATCCCAGGTATTCAATAATTAGGTTTGAACCAAACCCTGTATTGGTGCTTTTTGGTGTTTTGGAGGATCATGTACATTTTAGTGTAGCATGTATCAGCTACACTAACAGTGTCTCGGTTGCTGGGCAACAGGAGCGGCTCAGTAGGCTACACCTGTCACATTTCGGCAATGGTCTTGCGGTCCATGGAGGCCAGTTTGAGGGATGCAGCCTTCTCTGCATCAGAGGACCCTGCCGATGACAGGATCTGGACGTCATCGTTTTCCAAAAGCTGTGGTTTGCTTGTCTACACAACAACGCAACACCGGCGTTCTCAGATTTCTCCACTCTGAAACCCGTTCTCAACCCCTCCCCCCGTACGCAAGGTTGCCTCTCCACAGATCTGACCTGTTGCTCAGCCTGGTTTGGTTTCAATGATGAAAGAAATATACTGTGAAACATTCCAGACAAAGTAATAACATCTCCGTAAAGACAAGCAGTTGGCGGACCCTCCACCAGAAAAGTTACACATTGCAGCCTTTAAAAGCTCTGTACCTGATGTTTTTTCCATACGAATTTGAGCTTAATGTGTCTTGTCCCACAACAGATATATTGTTTAAGCAGCTTGAGGTCAAAGTAAGTCTGCTGTGTATTGCTTGCATTTAATTAAAAAGCATTTTTTTGTCTGATAATCAGGAAATGCACATTAGAAAATGGCAATTCATCGATAAAAGGTTTTTAAAACATAGATGTGTGTTTTTGTTCTACCATAGACATTGGTAAAAAGATTTGTTCGTTTTTTTATTTGTTTTATGGACTGAGTGTATATTGAATATTTCTAAAAATGTTCCAAAATGCACCCAAACTACTGCAATAAGGTGAGGAATGTACGATGAGAAGTTGTACATCTGTTGGCACGATGACGGGGATTCATTTTAATGACATTTCCAGAGGGGTAAAGGAGGGCTTTATTCATTTAAAAAGTTATACTCTCGGCTCTGCCTCAGACTTTTAGCACATGAAATCTTTTATAGTAGATGTAGCGAAGAGGAACAGCGGGTAAAGGCAAATCAAATCAGAGCAAACCCTAGAAGCGGGAGGAAAGCGAGTGCAAATATGAGCTATCTGAATCCTATTTGTACAAGGTGTGAGCGGGAGCGTCTGAGTGCTCTGACCTGGGAGACTCGTACAGAGGCACTGTGCGGATGTGCAGCTTCTGGATCTCATCTATGGTGCCGATGGTCAGGGTGCTGTTGTTAGCCAGAGCCAGACTGTGAGGGAGAAAAGGACATGAAATTACATAGAGAATAAAGACTGTGATGAAGCTCAGATGTGGAATATTAACACAAGTAGTAGTTAACAGAGGCAGTAGTAGAACAGAAGAATGCATCAGTATCAAATAAGTGGGTCTATTGCTAACTAATTGGTATTGGTCATTGCGGTGCCAAAAGTATTGAAATTCAGATACTATATTATTGATATTAATCAAAACTAAAACTAGTAGCAAAACTAGATACTCATTTAAGTACTGATACTGAATTCTTTTTTTATTATTATTATTAATTATGAGTTTACTAGTGTAATACTATTATTTTGTGTGTAAATATCATTTGGGTCTAAAAATCGGTATTGAGTATTGAGTCTATTCTCTATTATCGAATCGATTTTTTAGATTATAAAAATGTCACACTCTTGAGGCATATAATGTAATAATAATCTATACTTATATATATATATATATATATATAAAATAAAATTTAATAACTTAATTCAAACAACGGTTTTAAACTACATAATCATAAAGTAACATGGACAATTAAGAAATACAATCAGTATGTTTCAATATGTTCAAAAGGGAGTAGGAGGAAGTCGTAACTTTTTACTCCCACCCCTAGCGAAGATCTAATGCACATCATAAACTACTTCTGTGTAGCAGACATCATCAGACACATTTAATAAAGTCCACAGACTTGCATCAAATATTAAAAGCCCTTTAAGCCAGTAGTGTAAATCTGCCAAAGCCTGAACCTGTTACTTTGTATTAGTAACAAGGTCTTATATTCAGCTACATCATAATATCAGCAGAGTCACAACAGTATTTAGAAACTTGGATATGTGTTGTTTTCAGACTGTAGAATGAGACAATGGTCCACTTGGAAGCCAGTATTCATGGATGAATTATGTCATAAGAAATAAATTGCATATGGGATACATATTTTAAAAATAGTATTTTTTGCCAACCCTAATTGTAATCCTACCGCACCAGAGCAGCACTACAGAATGTTTGTTATCATGGCATCTGTCTCCAGTAAATGCTCACTATTTCCTTGCGCTTAGCCATAACAAACCATACTACACTAGCAGCAGATAAGAAATGGAAGCACATGTTTTACCTGTCGGGATAGCCCTCGGAGTTGAGAGGGCACATGTAGTTGACCTCCTTCAGGTTGACGTTGGAGAAGACCAGCTTGTGGTTGGAGGAGTAGATGACGGTGGGCCGGTCAGAGCAGGCAAACACGTTGGAGGTGGACAGAGATCTGAAGGTCCTAAGCACAGTGGGCTGGGTGCCCAGTGTCACCTTCTTGCGCTCGCTGAGGGCCCCTGTGTGAGAGTGGGAGAGGAGACAGACAGGCTAATGCTAATGCGGATGAGTGGAGCGCTGTGGAGAGCCGTGTGGGAGGACAGGATTCTCTCAGGAGCAGAGGTGAACACTACCTGTGAGCATGATTCTACTCATTACAATGGAATGATAGGCAAAGGGCAGCAACATTGAGAGTCTCTTAAGACCAGAGGATTTGTGTTCAATTAAAAATCATGTATGGTTTATGGCACGTATTTCAATGTATTTTATTTACAATCCTCAGGTTTAACCTGCCTGTATAATATAGAAATTGAACTGAGTCTATTGAACTGAAACTATTCAATTAGGACTGCTGTACTTTGGTTCAGTACAATTTCCTTTTAGTCCAAGTAATTGGTCTGCAATAAAACAAAGGCAATAATAAGACTGACTGTTGTCATTTTTTTTCAAAGACAGATTGAACTATTTACCACTGCCTCATGTACTGATGTATTACTGGAGGATAAGCACTGCGCATATCTTTACTACTTAATGGAAGTTTAAATAGATATTTATGGTTACAGTCACTCCTTTGCTTACATGCAAATGGTTGAATCTGCCACGGCTTTGCAGCATTGAATTATGTCTTTGCATAGAATATATCAAGTATATATTGAATTTAATGGAGGCCAAGTCTATAACAGAAGAAAGTTGTACACCAACAAGATCAACATACATATTTCATAATACATACAGCTTAACTGTGTTGTTACTATTCAAGAGCCTGTACCTATTTTTTTTCTTGTTGAAATATATGCCCTTTATATTATGCAGTGTATTGCAGACAGATAGACATAACCTATGGATTTTACAAAGCACTCTGTTGGGTAATGACTCAGGAGCTACAGAAAGACAGGGTCACTTATTTCACCCCAATTAGGAATATTTTTCACCAAGAATCATGGGAAATAACAGCCTGCCACTATTCCAGACAGTTGACTCTGGCATGGTGCATTTGCAAGAGGGACAATACAACACTAAAGATTAATGGGACCTGTGTGGAAACAATTGCATGACACATTCCCACACAGTTGTTTCTGTGTCAATATCACAATATCACAGTGGCAGAAAGGTGTTCCTCGGGCCCTTAAAGAAGATGTATTGTGCTTGTGTCTACTATGTAGTTCAAGTCTATGACACCCGTGGATCATTGTTAGAATTTGCACATTTTAAATCACAATATTGATCAGAAACAACTTATTCAAAGAAACAAGTCCGCTGACGTCGCTGTTAACGTCATCACAACAAGCTGTTGACCTCCTATGAATAACTGAACATCACACTAGCGAGTTGTTTTCATGTTTTACAAACAAGGTCGTTCAGTGAATCGCACACTGGTGCAAACATAGCTGAAGTGCTAAAATCTGCTGTAAGAGAGTGGGAACTGGTCAGGATTAACAATAGCACAAGGAACGCTGTTGTTACTGACAATGCAAGCAATATGAGAGTAACAATTAATGAGGCTGAACTGTCTCCTCATATAAAGTGTTTTGCCCACACACTAAACTTGGCCTCCCAAGTGGGTTTAAAGGTAAGCCTGTGAGCCGGCCTCCTCAGCAGAGTCAGACATGTAGCAATTTTTTTTCACTGCAGTTCTACAGCCACAGATGCGCTGACCACCAAACAAAAACGACTCAACCTTCCCGTGTACAAACTGATAGTCAATCTAGTGACCAGATGGAATAGTTCACTGGACACGGTGCAACACTACGTAGAACAACAACAAGCAGCTGCTGCAGCCCTTCTGAGTGATGAACTGAGTCATGTGAAATGGACACTTAGGACACAGTCAGCATTGCAAATGCTATGGAACTTGTGAAGCTTCTTACACCAATCAAAAAAGCCACAACAGTGCTTTGTGATGAGCCTCAACTGTAGACTGTATATAGAAATGGACATACCGGTAGCTAACGTGCTAGCCACCGCGTTCCAAATAGGAAGTTCACATGCAGGCTCTTCTAGCTCCTCCTTCATTGACTTACATTGGAATATTGTGGCCCCTCTCCCTGTCACTGTTGCAGTGACCCTTGTCATTTTGGTCTTAAAATGTTCATATTAACCCGCTCTACATGATCCTAAAATATGACAATAAATGGCTGATGACTGGCCAAAGCATATTACTAATTGTCAGTCATGTTATTATGAACGTAGACACAATATCATGAGCTATTCTACAATAAGGGATTTAGATATCGTTACATCCCTATGAATAATATAGTGTAGAGGCAGCAGGGAAAATGAGGGTTGATCGGAGCAATGACGTGTTGAATACAGGAGGATGAAGATTACTCAAACCTGCACAAATCACTCTAAATACTTTGACAGGGTAAATGAGAAGAGGAAACGACTACAACAGGGTTAAAAGCTCTAAAACGTCAATTTGGCATAATAGGTCTGCTTTAAAACTAACATTATCAGAGACAGAAGAACGTACCAGTGCTGAGATCCAGTCCGAAGTAGAAGAGCGCCCCGTCTCCCAGCGCGCACAGCAGGTAGTAGCTGCCCTCAAATGTGGTCATGAGGATGGATCGGGGGATGATCTCTGAAAGGATACAGCCAAAGCAGTTATTCCCTGAGCTGCACTGTGCCCAACCACTATCCCACCCACCAGCCAGCCCCCCAGCCCCCAGCCCGCAGGAGCAGAGAGGCAGAAATGTCAGCAAATGCATCGGACACAAAAATCTATTACTTATAACTCAGGCTGTCGGCAAACTTTATACAACAAGTACAAGCTGCGTCATAAATAAAACATCAGACTTTTCTAGTACAGAATGTAAGAATTTAGAGTGGACAGGTAATGTAACACTTTTATCAGTGTTAAAGGGCTCAATATTATGACATTTACATACCTTCACTAGAATCACTTGGAATTGCCAATGTCTACTGAAGAAAAGGTAGCTCTTAGTTTGAAAACTTCTATTTGATGACAAGGTGGAACAAAGCATTTTGAGCTCTGAAAATATAGACAGACTAATAATAAAGAGTAACTCAAACATGGGCGTTTTAATCTATAGTATGGAGATATAGTGATTACAGTGGTCCCTCGTTTATCGCGGGGGTTACGTTCTAAAAATAACCCGCGATAGGTCAAATCCGCGAAGTAGTCAACTTTATATTTTACAATTATTATATCTATTTCTTCTCAGACAGGACAGTTAACCCTTTTTGCATCCTTCTTAAAACGTATTGCTGCTGTTGTCCTTTTGTTATTTTCCTCCTTATTTATGTAACGAACCAAAGATTAATTTATTCTGTAATGGAGCCCTACAGCGCAGAGTCCTGCACGGGTCCATTTTTGAGACTCGCACCCACGCAGTACAACACCGCACCCTCCCGTTAACCCGAGATTATACCAAACTTTATGTGCTGCATACGCCACAGAACCAAGACTAAACCAAGACTAACCTAGGATGGATTCCAGGACTGAAGAGAAGGACTAAACTAGGACTAAACCAGGACTGAATCAGGACTGAATCAGGACTGAATCAGGACTGAATCAGGACTGAATCAGGACTGAATCAGGACTGAAACAGGACTGAATCAGGACTGAATCAGGACTGAATCAGGAGTCACGATTGGGACAGACTCGGAGGTGACCACAGGATAACGGACCGACGGAGAGCTCCGCACCTCACGGTAAGCGCGGCTATTGCCCGATCGCGCTGCACTGCTAGTGATTGAATATTTATGTAAATTTGTCAAGCTGAACGCATTCTGTACTGTAAAGGCAGGGCAGAGATTGCTTGACAGTGGTCTACAATCCTTTAGCCAATCACGACGCCAGGGAAGGAACATAATACGTGCTCATACAATGTAAAAAAAAAAAAAAAAAAGCATGCAAAATTAAACTAAAAAAATACGCGAAACAGCGAGACTGTGAAAAAGTGAACCGCGATATAATGAGGGACGACTGTACATAAGATATTATTCGTAAAGCAAACAAAAACAGATGTACACTTTTCCCACACACCCTCCCTCCTATTGATCAACATCTGTCATGATCTGATCGACAGCTGGATTTAACTAATTAAGGTATAGTATGTAATTTTCTAGAGGAGGTTCTGCAGCCTGCTTGCCTCCATGCTTTGCCTGCAGTGTTTTGCAGCGTGGCGTTAAAGAGGGGGTATTACACTCCAATACATTCCATACTGATATCACCATGTTCCCTTTTATTGTTTTGAAAATGCTCCATTCACCAATTTTTTTCACCATTTTTGTTAACACTCTGAGCCCCCCCTCTGTAATTAACCCTTCAGAGCGCCATCACACTTGTACGATTTTGTATTTATTAAAAAAATTATGCTTAGGAACATGGATGCCGTAGCATTGTGGGCTGAGTCTTGGACAGAATCTTACTGCTAACCGTAAGGAGGGGTCAAATAGGGCCTGAGAGAGATCGCTAGATTACTCAAACATGCGTGGATGATATCTAAAACCTCTTCAGGCAAGTTTTTGATGACAGATTATAATAACATGGTAGAAACCTCCAAAAAAGTAAATTTTGCTTAATATCACTTTCTTTAAACTACTCCATGGAGACAAGCAGGTGAACCGGGTAAAGTTACAGGTCAGATCTGTGGAGGGACGACCCTGCTCAGTGTTTCTCAAGGTAATTTTGAGCAATAAAAACAGCTGTAATTGAATAAAGATTAGGTTAATGCCATACTATACAGTCCAGGCAAAGCAGTATCATCTCCATGCAGACAAGCAAGTGCATGCAGTGTGAATGACGAATGATGAATGAAGTATCAAAAATATACCCGTGGTCAGTCTGGCCTGTCTGAGCAGCTCCTGTGACAGTGAGAGGAGGATTTGGTCCACTGCATCAAACACAGGCCAGGGATCAGACTGGACACAGCTAACTCCCGGAGTGTTAAACCCCACTGAAGACTGAGCGGGTATGGCATAATGTTAATAATTTTATTATGCAGGCATTTAAAAAGTGTATAAAACCACCTGAAGCTTTTTCATGGTGGTACATAAGTTTGGTTTAAAATGGTTGTAATGTTGTTCAAGTGGAACTAAACACTAAATCCACTTTTTTACTACTAATGTGTATATGATTGATTGCATTTATATAGCGCCTTTCAAGGTACCCAATGCGCTTTACAGTTCATTATTCAGTCACTCCACACTCAGTGGTGGTAATATACTATTGTAGCCACAGCTGCCCTGGGGCAGACTGACGGAAGCGAATCAGCTAATCTGCGCCATCGGCCCCTCCGACCACCACCATCAGTCATGCACACACCACTTTCATACTAGGCAATGTGGGTGAAGTGTCTTGCCTATGGACACAATGACAGTTTTTTGCTACTGGGACCCCACTGTGGCACCTGGAATTCCTAGCGGTCTCCCATCCAAGTACTACCCAGGGCCAGCCTGCTTAGCTTTTGAGATCTGATGGGATCAGGCTTTGACAAGCTGGTATGGCCATATGGTGTTTTGTATAGCATTATCTACTGTTCTAAATCAATTCGATATCAGTGCAAACTAGATAAATTTATAGCTTTCTGGATAAAAACATCTAAAGAGTGTGCTGACTCCTATGGCCACTGCAATTTCAAGTCTTGCCCGCAAGTAGTAGTGAACACCATTGCCCAGATTACTGTCAGATTACAAAAACCTGTCTGAGGGTCTGTCCACTTGACAATGTTTTTTGGTCGCAATGCTGACGTTTTTATTTGTTTTGGCCTTTCATCCACACGGAGCCGGCGTTTTGGGCGGGAGAAAACTGTGTTTTTTGAGAACGGGTTCCAGAGTGGAGAAATCTGAGAACGTCGGCATTTCGTTGTCGTGTGGACAAGAAAACCACAGCTTTTGGAAAACAATGATGTTGCGACCCAGTCATCGCCAGTGTCTTCCGATACAGCGAAGGATGCAGCCCTCGAACTAGCCTCCACAGAATGCAAGAGCGTTGCCGAAATGTGACAGGTGTAGCCTACGGAACTGCTCCTGTCGCCCAGCAACCGAGACAGGCTGATAGCGCTAATACTAATAACACGCATCACGAAGATCACACACGGATCAATAACAAAGATTATACATGGGTAATTAAACTATTGGATTTTGAGACCAAGTTATTCTAATAATTCCCATCCAAATCTTATGCCTAAAAACAAAAACTTATGTTTAACTTTTGCAAAACACAACGGCTATATTTCTGGGATACATCTAAAATCGGCTAAATTACCTTAAAGTTAAAAAAAAAAAAAAGGTGATGAGATATGTATTATTAAATATTATTATCATTGTTAACAGCACTACATACAGGTGTGGCAGGTGTATTACATCGTTTTCACTCTGCTCAGTTGTCGTCTGGACATGAATATTTATTGATCTGACACGTGTGTGGATGCAATTTTTTTTTTTTTTCCGGTCCATTAAAAAAATTATTAAATTAAATTAAATAAAAAATAAAAAAATCCAGCCACAATCCACGTAGCCTGAAGAAGGACAGTTTGAGGTGTGGATACGCGTTAGACCAATCAAACTTATTTATTCCTCCAGGCCCTGCCGCTCCCCCTCCCTCTCTGCCCAGTTTAGCAGCTCTACTTGATATGCGGTTGTGGGGGGAGTTTAGGTGTTTAGTCCCACTTTAAATTCAAAATGTCAACTTTACTTCAAGCTTATTTTAAATGCATCACTCTCACCACTATTGCTAAAAGGTTGTGCTTCTGAGCCAATTTCTATCCATTGCACCTTTACCTTAGGGAAGGGACAGAGTGACATTTCCACAAAATGAGAACTGTGACCAATAATACCACAGTATGCCAGTATACGGTGCAGTTGTTTATTTTATAATGCCTAACAAAAACAAGGGCATTCTTATCTGAAAATGTGTTTGTGTGATATTGCTTTGTTGATACACTCCTTAACTGTGCAGAGATTTGCCCCGATAATTGATCTGTGTTTACTCAGAACAAGGAGCCAACAGTGATAATTTACTATATTTGTGATGTAACAGACCTATACAGGATTATGAACTCAAGGCTGTGAGGAGTGATGCTTTTTCCACTGACCCAGAGAAGAAAATTAGTTCTGGCAAAATTGTCAAGAAGCCCATCCCGTTACTGTGGCATTTTAATACAGCGGAATACTTTAAAGCAATAGTATGCAACTTTCTGGAGGTGGCACATCACCTGCATGATTCAATTTTAACTTTACTTCTCTATGGAGACATTCTCTATGGAGACATATGGATGATTCTATAATTAAGGGTAAATTTCATTTCAGTGAAAAGTGGAAAAAAAAGAGGTTTAGTTGTTCTGCTTAAGTGATTACATACTTTCAAAACAGACCCCCAAGGGGACATAAAGAATCATTTGGCCAACTTAAACTTTTGTTATTTTTGAATTATTCATGTTTTAAAAGTGTTTAAATAACAATTTTGTCAAGTGGGTAACGGGCTAGTGACACTCCATATTGATACATTCATTATCCAGTTGACTTCTGAAAAGTCTGGGTGCACCGTAAAACAGGACAGTTATTTCAAAGAAGCGGGTTAAACCTGAGCAATGTGTTTTCACAGCTTGCTCCATAAAGGAGTTGGTGACTTTAGAGTGAACCATTGCAGTTGTATCAGGGATTATCCGAGGCATTACCCATTTACCCAAAACATCTTGGACAAGCATATATGAAAGTATTCAATATAAAGTAATGGGTACAAAAGTTTGAAAACATTAAAATAACTCTTTTCAAACATTTAGGATGTTATTTAAGTCAAACATTTCTACTCACGCTATGGATTTTGGGGCTTATAAATTAAGTGAAACTTTGACATATGAAAAGCAGACAAGCAAAATATGCTATTTTTTACCATCTAAATTGATGTATTCTGCAAAAATGAATAATGCTATCAGGTCCACTAATTTTGTCCAAAGGGGGGCTGGTGGTACAGTGTAAAAACTATCACTGTTTTGAGGAACCAATTGTAGAATTGATAAGTACAATGAGCGGCCATGAAATGTACCCCTAATAATAGAATCATCCATATATACTCAATACTGTGAATGATTATAGCCAAAAAAACAACATTCCCTAGCAACAAGCAGTAAGAGGTCCTCCTCCAGGCCAATAACGTGCAATAAAAGCATCCAAAATGAAAGAATCATGCTTTTTTTAGTCTATTTTTGGCAAAAAAAAGTTACATACTATAGCTTTAATATTAAGTGATAAAAACATATGATAACAATGTCAGAAGTACACTACAGTCAAAGGTTTGGACACATATTCTTATTCAATGTCTTTTTTTTTTTTTTTTTACTCTACGTTAACTATTTTCTACATTTTATTTACTAAAACTAAAACTACTGAAAGACATCAAATATATGATGCATGATATGTGGAATTATGTGGCGAAGACCTTCTCTTAATGAGCTCTGTGATGAATTCACACGAAATGGTTTTCAAGTCACAGCTCCACCATGTCTGGGCCAAGAAATGCCTAAAGTGCAAACCAGTGATCAAAGCAAAGGGTGACTTTTTAAAATTCAAAAATCCTAAGCAAGTGAGTTATTTTGACCTTATTTTTTGTTCGCTGTATTCCATATGTATCATTCAAAGTTTTGATGAATTCCGTGAATAAAAAATGTAAATAATCATAATCATGGAAATAAGAAAGAGCCACAAATGAAAAATATAAATGCGTCCAAACTTTTGACTGGTTGTGTAGTTAAAAAAAAAAAACAAAAACATGCTTGACATTTACCATGAGCTACACACCGACCATGAGAACAAAACTGCAATTTTAGAGGGGGTATTTTATTTCTCTAGGGTATCAACTGCTAACACATAACATATTCAGATCAACCATGTTACCTTTTATTGTTTTGCAAATGCCCTGTGTCTCCCATCCCTTGCAAAATCACTCCCTCTTTAGATCACTGCACATTTGCATCGCATTAGGTATGTCAACTTATTGTGTACAGTTTTGTATCCTGCTTTTGTATATTTATGGAGATTTTTTGTGTGGGTGCATGGGTAACATAGGCTTGTGGGCTGAGCAATGGACAGAGTCTTACAACTAACCGGAAGAAGGGACTGAATAATGCCTAGGAGAGAAAGTAAAGTAAAGTACTCAAACACGCATGGATGACATCTAAAACCTCAGGCATGTTTTTGATGAGGAAACAACGTTATAAGATGGTTGAAAGCAAAAAAAAAAACCCAAAAAATAACCGATCTTTAACATCTGCATCCTCCTCAAATGTTAAAAAATGCATACTAACTACTATCTATTACACAAAACACATCAAAACGAATGGGGCAGGCTGGTGATATTAGTGTCCTCTCACCTCCTCCCAGCATCTCCTTGTGCAGGGCGGTGAAGCAAGGCAGCTTGAGCACGCGCGCGGATATGTCTGTCCACAGTCCCACGGCGCACAGGGGCGACTCACTGCCCGGCTCCCCCAGAGGAGTGATGTCCAGGCAGGCCACCTCATGCTCCATCTCCGTGGTGCTAAGGAGGAAGGGGAAACGAGCAGAGGATGGTGTGAGAACGTGTTAATGATGTTATACAAGAAGGGAAAAACACTTAAAGTTTCCCAAGCACATAATAAGATGCTAATTCAATAATCTTCTATACAGTAGTGTTGTCACAATACCAAAATTTCAAGCAAGATTTCAGTACTAAGTGACTCGATACTCAATACAGATTCCGATACCACAATGATAATGAAAAACACTCCACACTGCCATTAACAACATTAAATAATAATACTTTAATAATTATTATAATATTATATCTGTTTAATCCCTTATTCATCACCCCATAGGAGTACTACCATTTTATGTGCTCTTATACTTGTTCTGATACAGCTCAAGATCATTCTAAGGCTATTCAGGAATAGGGTTCATTTCTGTTCTGCGAATGGGACTTTTTTAGTATCGATCCCTGTTCAAATTAGTATCTAGTTTCGATGCATTTTAGTATTGATAAGTATCTGACTTTCGAGGGGGGCTTCTCTGACCACGATCAATCCAAAACTTAAACATGAAGCATTATGTCATCACAACAGGTTCAATTATGAAACAAAAATAAAAGGCCTCTTCCTCATCTGTTTGGTAAACCAGGAATTAACCAAGACTAACCAAGTGATGATGCTCAATATGATGTGAACAGTTCTACCCAAAATGACATATTGCTGTGTCAAACTCTGATCTGAACCGGGACTACGGCAGGCTGATATGGCCAAAACCTTTTATCACAATTTAAAAGAGAAACTTTGCGATAACAATATTGACGACATACCTCAGGCTGCTTAAAGGAATCTTGTATAATAAATGTACTTGTTTTCGGGTATTTATAGCTGTAAGTTCTCCTTCCACTCCTCACGCCTTATCGCTGTCATTAGTTTTTAGTCTCTGCAGAGCCTTCAAAGTCAGTGGCTCTAGGCTTTAGCTGCCAGTCTGTCTGCCATTTATATATATGATATTCTCATCACAATATATCACTATACTGACCTTACTTTGCCCCACCTACTTTTAGTCTTTAAATGATAATAAACCATGCTTTCTTCAAGCTGCTATGTGGCCATACCGGCTTGTCAAAGCCTGATCCCGTCAGATCTCAGAAGCTAAGCAGGGCCGAGCCTGGCTAGTATTTGGATGGGAGACCATTGGGAAAATCAGGTGCCACAGGGTGGCGCCAGTCACAAAAACTGTTGTTGTGTCTTTAGGCAAGGCACTTCACCCACATTGCCTAGTATGAAAGCGGTGTGCGTGAGTGTTGGTGGTGGTTGGATTGGCTGGCAGCCGCAGCTACAAGTAGCTTACCATCACTGAGTGTGGAGTGAATGAATAATGCTATATAGCGTCTTTGTGACATATGTCTGTGAAAAGTGCTATATAAATAAAACTTACTTACTAGTTTACTTCTTTGTGGTGGCACTTCTGGTTAAGTGGGAATCCCAGAGTGATATATGTAAAATGTTCACTGTTCATGTACACCAAAACTTACTGAATCTCTGGGAGGCTTTAAAGTGGCTTTGGAATCTGTATACAACTCATCTGCTGTCAACATCGGCAGTCTCATACAAATAATACAACCCCAGTGGCTATGGTGGTGCCAACAGCAACTCTGGGAATAAGGTGAATATGAGCTAGCCTAACTAGGACTAAAGAACTGGCACAAAGATAGGGCTAGCCCTGGCTTAAAGCACGGCTAGAGACTTGGGACTAAAAAGCTAGGTCTAAACTAGGTATAACCCAGAACGTCAGTGCAAGGACAAACACTAAGGACTCATTAGAACAATATTTGTTCAAATGAGTATTCAGTTTTGATATTAGTTTTAGGATCTGATCCTTGACTTTTGACAAATCTATCAGGAGTAAACCAGGACACGAAGGACCTACCTGATCTGTTTGAGCTCCCCGGCTAGAATCTGCAGGTAATAGAGCGCCCGTCCCACGGCGAGCACCACCTGTGTGTGGTTACAGGCAGCCACGCTGATGTTCCTCCCCTGGGGCTCCTTCCATTCACTCACCAGGGCCTTACTGTCCTGGAGCACCAGTCGCACCGAACCTGACGTGATCTGCAACAATAAAGGCGCCAGTTATACTACATGGGGTGTTAAGGCCAATGCACACCAGAATGCTTTGACACGCAGCAAAACTGCTGCCTGATTGGGGTTTATTGAATCAGGACACAGAGCGGCATCTGAAAACACCTTTGCACTTCTGCAGTGAGTACAGCCATATCTCTGCTCTGTGACCAACAAAAGTAAAATTTGAGGAGAGTCACGAGGCAGGGAAAGCACTGGTGTCCAACTCAGCAAAACACCAGCTCCTCTCCCGCTTCTTCCCGTGCGGGACTCTCCACATTTGACTATTTACAGACGAGAACTATTCCTGCAAAAATGCAACAATCACTGGAACTGAGAATGATGGTTGCAAAGAGGCAGAATTTCAGGGAGTGGAAATGTCCAGCTCCTCCGTCTTTCAAAGTATAGGAGTCTGATATGCTGTCATCGAAACAAATAGAAAAAAATTTAGAGCTTTTGAACATTTTGAAATATTTGGAACCAATTCTCTGCTCATCTTAAGGAAACAAACTGATTATGGCTGTACTCGTGCTTCAGTGAATTTCCAATTCCTGCATTTTTTATTCCTTTTTTCCCTTCAGAATGTCTAACTGGTAAATATCTGTGCACCTGAGCCGTGTTTGTTTAACACTGAAAACCAAAATAAAATATTCAAGAAGGCCCTAGCTACAAATATGAGAAATACATGCGTTTCTTGTATTAGTTTTGCAATTCAGTTGAATCACGGTCTTCTCACAATGTTACCTGTCTCCATAGAGATTATACTGTTTTGCCTGGAATGTTCCCCGGTATTGCATTAAGCTTAACTATCTCCATGGAGACAAACAGGTGAAGCCATCAGGTCACGTTTCAGGCCAAATCTGTTGAGAGGAGACTCTGCTCACAGTAAGAATACATGTTTTCTACATGTTTTTGACAAATTAAACACATGAAATTCATGAACTGCATTTCAGATAAGCATAATGCAATACTGTGGGGTCATTCCAAGTAAAGCAACATCTCCATAGTGGCAGACCCCAAACCCGAAAAGTTACATAGTGTTCCTTCAATGCCCATAGAGTGAAGGCCAGTTGAAAAACTATTTACAAAAGGTCAGATTTGGTCCTGTTTATAGGATCAGCTTGAGTCAAAAGACAGTCATCAAGGTTAGCTGCTATAGAGGCAAATATGAAGCAGATTTTCATATCTGCCATTCCGTGCCCGAGTATCATAGCAACCAAAGAGCCAATCTGGAGCGAGGCTGTTGAAGGTAAAAAACATGTTGCTAATGCTAGTGGGCACAGCCTTGAGTAAAGAAGGCACCTAATTTGTCATGTCTTGATTTAGGGACAAAATAACTAAATAAAAACATGTCTATGGTATCAACCCTACCCTGAGTATGTTTAAAATGTGCTCTCTCTTACAGATCAAATAAATCCTGAAACATCAATTCAAAAAACTCCCCATGGAACTGAATGAGTGACAAGTGTTACTCTACTCCCCACCCCTGACACTTGGTGATTGGCAATGGGATAAACGGCATGTGTAAAAGTCTATTATTTAAACATGTTTTGGCCTGGGGAGTCTCTGCATATTTATGGAAATGAGAAAGAGATGGAGATTTGTGAGACAGCAGGCTTGGTTTTAATTTGATTAGAGCCAATTGTAGCATGTTGACAGTAAATCTGTGTTCATACAAATATTCACTTCAACAATCAAGTATACAATTGTGCTTAAATTGGGTTCAGAAGTGGAGCATGCAGGCGAAAATCCTGGTGGAGCTAGTAATTAAAATGTAAACATGCAAGAATAACTTATAACTGAATGCTTGTTTAAATGTAATTGCAATAACCCATACAATACACAGAAAGTGCCTCTGGGCTGTAGAGAAATGCAAATTTAAAAGAAAAGCCATGATTTAAGCAATGCTGTGGTAACTCTTTAAGAAATAAGCTTTGCTGTTGCTTATGTCAAGCTACTGGAAAAAGACAGATCCATTTCTGGTAGACTTTTTTACGGACTAATAACTAAACACTAATCGATACTAAATACTCATTTGAGCTGGTATACTAAAAAAGTCACATTCACAGGACAGGAATGAACCTTTCTTGAGGAGCTGATAGAAAGAACACGTATAATAGCACATAGACTAGCAGCGTATTTTCCGGGCTATTAGGCGCTCTGGATTATAAAACGCACGGTCATTAAATGGTCTATTTTCGAACTTTTTTTACAAATAACCCGCACCGGACTTTAAACGAAACACAGCTGTTCGATGGGTCAGTGGGACTTTGTTTGTCGCGTTACTCTGGGCTTTGTTCAGTTGTGGCGTGTAGGGAGGGTGCTTTCTGGGACCGCTGGATTGTCGGCGTGTTCGCAGTGACTCAGTTGTTCAGTTGTGGCTTTTTTGGTTCGTTCCTCCGTTCCGTTCCTCGTCGGCCTGGAGTGGTGAGTGTGGCTGTGGGTGTTTTTCGCTGCGCGGTCGCTGTCTACTCCGTGCGTGTTTGCGTGCGTGTTTGCGTGCGCTGCGGTTTTGTAGTTTACTGAAGTCGTGCTTGGAAACCCGAGTGGATTCGTGCATAGAGCGCTCTAGCTTGTGGGGCGCGCGGTCGTTTTTTGATGGGGTTAGAGGCTTAAGAGCACATCTAATAGCCTGGAAAATACGGTATATACCCATAGATCACTATAGAACCTACCTGGACCATTACACAGGTATAAGGTCACATTATAATATAAAAGAAAATACTACGACTTAATGATGAAGTTGCATAAAGAAGTATCATAGTGGTATCGGAATCTGTATCAAGTCCATTCCTCAGTGCTGAAATTAAGTTTGAAATTTTAGTATCGTGACAACAGAAGTCGTCACATAAAATCTTTAAAATTCAAACCAGCCATTCAACTGTGACTGAAGTGAACAATGATGGCAAAGCATGAGACATTTGTAGAGAAAAGGAAGTCATTTTAAGGGAGCATATTATGCTTTCTCTTCTGATGATATTGCTCCATGGCTGCTGAGTTAGTGAGGAGTGACGCATTTAGAAATGAAAATGGCAAAACTGCTATTGTCAACATTGCACAAGACAAGATAGATACTTTGTACTTGAGGCCATTTAAGCATTACAAATATCAGAGTTATTTCATGGTGGGTGGACTTTTAAAAACTCAGGAGCATTTTCTGGATTCAGTTGCTTGCAAAAATCAATATGGGGACGTTTCCACTTGCAGTATGTGTGAATAAAACATGGTCACAATTACAGGAAGTCTTTTTGTAGCTTAGTGTAACTTGTGTGAAGAGGAGGTATTACTCTTCTGCATAGCATTTAGATAACCATCTTACCTTTTATCATTTTGAAAATTCTTGTAGTGCATTGTTTTGCATCATGTTTTTGTATATTTATGAAAACTGGTTGAGCAGGAGCATGGGTTTACGTACACTTGTGCATTCAGCCTTGTACAAGAGAAGTGCCAAAAGTAAGGAGGGTTAGAGTAAGACCAGGGAGAGATCAGGATCACTCAGACATCCTTGGAGACATCCTTCAATGACATAAAACCACTTCAAGCATGTTTCTGAACATTATAACAAAGTAGAAAAGCTACAAAATATCAATTTCGCATAATACTCACTGTTCAATTTCAACAGATCAAAAACTCTAAAGAGAAAGAAGTAGTGTGAAGTTTTGCCTTTGTTTACCAATTAAAGAACAGGTCTTTAAACCAAATGAAACTAGTTAAAACCCTGCATCCCAAGTTCAGTGAAGTGTTTTCGTAATACTATCAAAGCTGATTTTGATAGGAAAAGATACACTCCATAACCATTTGAATATCACAACAAGAACATTAGTGCCATAGATACCACTCTGAGTTCCTTTACCATTATATTTTAAACATACACCAAGTACCATACAATATGATTTTCAATACAGAATAGGGGTGTAACGATATTCAAGTTTCATGATATGATATCGTCACGGTATGAACCTTACGGTATGATATTTATTGCGATATCTTGGGAAAGCTCACGATATGGTGGGAAGGCTCACGATCAGGGACGTAACAATAACCAAATCTTTCTGTATAATATTTTCACGATATACATCTCACAGTACAATATTTATTGCATTATTTTGTGGAGGGTAACAAAACTGTTAACTTGTTCCTATTAAAATGCCTTGACTAAATCCAAAGAGCTAAGACTTAAAAGTGCTAAGAACTGCTATTTCTTCATGTAGTCTACTCTACACTGAAATGGTGCAAAGGATCATGGTCTATGTAGTTCTCTCCGTCTTTTTTTTTTAGCTTTTGCTGCACCAAGCAAAAGCAAAGAGACTTGTAATGTGATATACTGTAGTGGTCCATGATATTACTGCGAGAACTTTGATGATATCACGATATCGATATTTTTGGTTATTGTTACATCCCTAACACAGAATAATTCAATGTTCACTGAAATAACTGGCTTTTAAACCCAACTGAAACTAGTTAAAACTTGATAGTAATGTCAATCTCTTGGCTACCTTCAAACGTCCTATGCAAAGCCATTTTTTAATCATGCAGACTTTGAATCAAATTACATAAGCCAATAGTAGACAAAAGTGTCTAATATAATTTCAAGCGTTTGGAGGCGTAAGAGATAAAGCCATGAGAAGGCTCGTAATCTTCCAATAGTCACAGGAGCCTAATAGTGCACTTCCTGTCTCTAAGCAGCAGACGCCTGTGGTCCAGTGTGCTTGTTAGGTTATTAGTGTTCAAGGAAAGTGCAGCCTTCGCATTTTTTTGTGGTTAATTAAAGCTGCAAAGTTTGCCACAGTCTGGACACAGCAGGCCATGGAACCGGAAAACAGGCCCACACAACCACCATTCATACAGCAGGGACCGTTTGCATTAACGTTAATATTTCAAATACGGCTTAAAGCTTTTCTGAGAAATGTTGCGTCATGTAAAAAATATGGAAATTGCAGTGTTACAGGGAATTTGCGTAACTTATGTGGCTTATATATTTTAAGCTGCCA